CTGTTGGAAACATAGAAGAAAAACGTCTGAAGACAAATTATTTTGTAACAAAAAACTAGCTTTCTTTGGAATATTCTAAACTTAAAACATGTTTTGTACACCCTGGTAGGTATAGGCCTAACCTTTTTTTAAGACATGTGGGTCAGAAGGCTTTTTAAAAATATAAGCACTGATTATGATAAGTCCCTAGAATTAATGTTTTTTTTTTCAGTTTCATCGCAATTATAATCTTACTTAATAGTGTCACAGATTAAAGAATGTACTTCATTCTGTAGTGGTAAAAAAATACCCCCGCTGCAGCAAACCTGCAGACTTGGCGAATTTCCATTTGCCTGATTTGTATTTAAAACACTAAAATGTCTCCTTAAAAATATCACATTTATTCCCTATTTAAATAGAATTAGTTTAACGAGTACTTAGGTTTGCTGCAACAGGGAGGGTAAGTAAAAAGGTGTGTTTTTTAAATGTAAAATGTTAAAAGGTAATGTAGTTTAGTAAGAAATTAATGTATTTTCCAAATGTTATCAACATATGTTCATAAACAAGCAAACTACAACAGCTGACTCATTCTCCATAAGAATAACATGGGAATTTAAAATCAGTAGCAATGCTGACATCCCATTCACTCGTCACTCATTACTGTCTCATCCCATCTACATCTTAACATACACACTGGTGTTTTGGCATTAGAAAGCTACTCAATTTAAAATATTTGCTATGAAAAAGGTCAAAAATTTATTCCCAGTCCCTAGATATTGCAAAGTATATACACAGGTGGCCCTAGTAAAGGTATTTGAAAGGCACATTCATGTCCTCATTAAAAGTGAAAGTAGACATTTGATGTCCGATGTATGGCTATAAACAGGTTAGTACTGCTATACATACCTACATCCGGTCAATTGTGGACCAATACTATGGTAGATATGAAGCAACAATTACATAGCAATAACAAGTTTAGAGTATTTGTACAAGGTGTACAGTAAACCCCCTCTTATCCGACCTTGCATTAACTGCTAATTGAATTACCCACTCTCGCTTGTAAAATATTGCAGTTTGTTATAACTGACCTTGTTTTGAGAGCAGTTCGGTTTAACCGCTGTTTTTTAGGAATCTCGGAATTTCTGCTCTTACAATTGGCAATGGGAAGAATATGTTCCAAGACTTCATCGTCAGGGGAATACTCTAACTCAGCATCACGATTATGACTTCTTTAATGACAGTGATTCTGCACTGAAGAGGATCTTCTCCTTGGAATTGAAGATAGCTTCCTTTTCCCCTTCTTGTTTCTGCGCTGTGTTGTGTGTGAGGGGGGTGAAAGCAGAGTATTGGGGTTAGTGTTGTGCTCTTTAACCACTTGTTTTCCTCCATTACCACATGTTCTCCTAGTTTCATTATATAAACTATCATTTTATTCTAGGCCAATCATTGTCAAACGATAACCTTTTTTGCCTTCTTGTTAAGTTTTCATTCATAATATATATTTGCACTGTTAAATTTTCAATTCATTTTTGATAACCTTTCATATCGGCTCGTTCCTCCCAATGTTGTTACATTCACCATTGTAACACTTCAGTCACAATCAATCATTGTCTCACACTCGTTGGTCATACTTACTTGTTATTTTTACGTTTTTATATTTTATTGCACTGTCAAATATTCAAATTTGTCATGTCTTCCTTTTTTAGCGATCCTGTATTTAGCGAAGCAGGCTGTTAATGTTAGTTCAATTTTAAGACCATTGCATGTATATTTTCTCTTGTTTGCCGATGTTGTATGTTCATAGTATATATAATTGTTTTTCATTTTTCATTACTCAGTTGCGAATCATTAGTGTTAGCATGTATTCACAAAGCATGACCAAATAGCAAGATGTAAAACTTACAGCATGTTAATAGTATTTATTGATCCACAAATTGTTATGCATGTAATTGATTGTACAAATGGCGATTTTGCCGTAAATAAATAAATAAATAAATAAATACGCTAAACTCAACAGACCTTAAATAAACTTTCTGTCTCATAGCGGAATGGTTGCTTGTATCTTTAATTTTTTGGTTTATACTTTATTAAGGTAGATTTGAAGGATCAATTAATATTTACTATAGGTATTACAAAGGGTGTAAAAATATGAATTTGTATTGCCTCTTGCCTACGACAATAATTTATTCAACTGAAAGTATTTGACTTTAGGCTACTGGGTTTTGGGTTTAATGTGTGACTTATCGATAGTCAATAGCCTACTTAAAGAAAAACGAGATAAGTGGAGTTTATTTTGTAAATAATGTGACGCATGACTTCCAATGAGTTAAAATTCCAAATGAGTAGCACTTCATTTTTTGAGTTTTTAGGGGTTGCCTGTTTTAACCTACCTTTGGAGTTATCCAACCTAGGTCCGGTCCCGTTAGGGTCAGTTAAGAGGGGGTCTACACAATAACTGTATTACAACTACAGTTGTAACATAGGCCTATACAATAACTCTGCTACGCCGGTGGCAAGCCCGGGACCTATTTTGCAATTGTGGTAGGGAAGAGAAGTCGGAAGAGTACCTAACAACCTCGGTAAAAAAAACCAGGGTCCATCTGGCTCTATAGTGAACGTACCAAAAAAATCACATTAAAAACTACAGAGGTAGCATAAGGTTTATGTTGCATATTTTCAAGCTAGCATATATAACTATGACTACCAGAAACTTATGTTAGCCCAATTTATCTTTGATAATCATATCATGAAAAGCTTTTATCCATGCTTCATAGGCTAGGCCTAGTAATAACGTACAAAAAGAACAAAAATAACAACTAAAGTAACCTGAAGTTAATCCAATCAAATGACATTTTTTACAGTAGCCAGAGATTTGATTTGCAAAAAAGCAACCATTTATTTGGATCTTAAAAAGAACAAATTTTAAGTTGCCGTAAATTTTAAAAACTAGCCTAGTGCACATTTTCTTGAATTCGAGCAATTGCAAAGTATTACAGGCGTTATATTTCAAAACAAATAACAGTCACAATTTCCGATGACTTAAAAGAGTCAACTCAAAGATAATGTACCGTAATCAATCACTCCACTCTAGTTATACAGTTAACTGGAAACAAACTCACTCTGAAAATGAACGCTCACTCCACTTCTAGGTTATCAAAACTGAAAACGAACTCACTCTGAAAACAAATGCTCTTATGTGTAGCCTATCATGTGTACGTTTACTATGAAAAGCTGTAAATAATACAAATTTCAGTAGGCCTATTCGTCTGTTAAAGTAGCCTAAACAAAACCTTTTTCAAAAGAAATACATTGGGATTTTGATGACCTGTGCTGTGGGGCAAAGCCCGAAGACTTTTATTTAGCCTACTTACAGGAATTAATGAAAGGGTTGTCTAAACAAAAAAAAAACACGGCTACTTAATTTTGACACATCATTTGTAAAAATCTGTCCATTCTTATCGGAGGAGTACCGGTAGTGTTTCGTAGATCGCCTTCACGTATTATATATCTGGCCTAAGGATGATAAGTTAAGTTATGCGATAGGTTTAGATGAATTCTTAAGAAATAAAACAAAAACGTCTAGATAAGTTATATGGCACATGCGAAGAAACCCTCCGCAAGTTGGCCGACCTCTCATCTCAGATTGAAGTGAGGGTAAGGGTTCGCTGTAATCATTGTTTTGCGAAAATCCAGGAACAAGGCAAAGTCAATTAGAGTCAGATAAGTTATGACTGGCAACACCACTTTGGTGGCTAGGTATTTTTTGGACAAAATCTTAACATGCGGAGCTAACTAAAACTTAACAGGCCCGAAACAAATAACTTACCGATGTTTATTTTGCATCACAGGAATGTAAACAGCCAAACAGCTTTCCTTTCCTTCAAGGGTTAAGAAAACCTAGGCAGGCACCACTAGAACTTGGGACTTGCCCAAACCACCATCCAAACCACTCAATGCACTTAAGTTTGTAGGCTGATAGGCTATGTTTTCTCATTTTATACACACTTAACTTAGTAATCCACTCAACAAAAACTTATTCGTTCATTGTTATTTCATTGTTATTTTTATTGTTTATTGCTCTCACAAAAATATTTATCATGTTTATTGTTATTTCATTGTTATTTATATTATTTATTGTTTCCTAGGTTAGTCCATGTGCCATTTATTGTATACATATCTTCGTTATTCATTCAACTATGTATTTGCTTATCGTTACTCAGTTCTCTCTTTTGTCCAAGTTGTTCACATGTATACTTTACTCATATTATTGTTACATTTGACATTCCTTTCATTGTTATTATTATTATGGATAATCTAGTCATAATGAGCAATTTACAACTCAATCAAACTGTAAAATTGGTGTAAATCCGTTGGCAAATAAATAAATAAATAAATATTGTAGCCTACTGTAACTTAGCTTAAAAAGTTATGTTAACTTATTTTGTCATTCAGCTTTCAGCATGAAAAAACGGTACTTAGCCATTTAGGCTGCACTTTACTTTAGGTCCTACACTTATTCGAATGAAAATATCGATTATTCTATTGTTTCATTCAATATATCGTTTGGTTAGCTAGGTTAGGTTAACCTTACCTAACTAACCAAACGATATATCGAATGAAAAAATTGATTAATCAATATATCTTCATTCGAATGAGTGTAGGACCTAAAGTAAAGTGCAGCCGCCATTTAAAATAAATTTACACCTGTCTTAATCAATAACAAAATTTTAACTTTTAGTTTCGTAGCAAGGCTAGCAGTAAGTTAGCCCCAAGTTTAGGATGCCTAGGCCTAAGTTATGTCTTTATGTTGAGGTAACTTAGGCTATGCTTTTAGGCGTTCTCATGTTTATTAGTGGCCTAAGTTAGACCTAACTAGGCCTAAACAATAGAGATAATAGGTTAGTTCTATGCAATAACATCATGCTTGGGCTAGTCTAGACTTAAGTGTGTAAATCAAGTGGTATAGGCCTAAAACTTATTGGAGCTTAACCTTAAAAGAACAAATTGTAGAACACACATACCTCGATCAGATGCGTCCATTTCCATTAGGCTGGTTTTTTAATTTAAAAATGATGACGGGATAACACAATACTACAATATTACTAATATTTAAATCCACACAACGTTTACTTCTATCGGTATAACATCAGCACTTGGCCCACTTTCTATTCGAGAGAAAACATGGCTGAGCAGTAACACAACTATTATTCAAGGTCGATGAACTGAATTGGTGCTCGGTTTCAATTGAAGACAACGACTTTTCCTAACCTATAATGCAAATGCAACAGGATTAAATTTAAATTTATAAAAACACTAGGCCTAAATTGAAAAACTTTCGGTATATAAACAAACGTAGATTTAAACGAATCAATAGATTAAGTTTAATGCATCAATACAGACGGTTTTCCACAAACAAACAACATTTAATATGGTTGCATGGTTCAGTTCAGTTCAGTTCAGACAGATATTTGATCAATCTAACCCAATCCAAATCCAACTCGCAACAACATAATATGATAAAATCTGATTATAGACTTTAACCATAGATTAAACATACTTCTATCTACATTCCAGTAGGAGACATGAAATAGTTTGTTTTCAAATTCTACAGCAATGATTTTTCATGGTAAATACCTCAAATTCCCCATATAAAATTATATACAAATAGTATTCACAATACAACCAAGCTAATGCAAGAAAAATGGACATTGTTATATTAATTTGCTTGAACCTATTTCAATTATCAATCAATTAGATGGGGGGATGAGGACGCCACGGAGTTAGGTAGCAATAACGCCACCTATGGGCTTATTTTATCCAAAATATGAGTGTAATCCTTGATCAAAGACTTAATTTAAAAAGCTAAATTTGGAACAAGATAATATCATTAAATTTCAGATATAAATTTACTCTTTCTTGGCTATTAAACGGAAGTTAAAAATTAACTTAAGAAAATAAATTGCTATTGTAAAAAGTTTATTCTAAAACCAGCGTGGACTGGACGTGCATTATCCAACTTTGGGAATCATCCAGTGAATCATAATCTGAACGTCATGCAAAGATTCTAATCTAAAAGTTCTAAGGCATATTCTCCAGTCATCATGGTTCGTTAATAACGTATAGTGCTTCACAGGGACAGTCAAACCAGTGACCAAACCAGTCAGACTCTAAAGTAATGGCACACTTGGCGAATAGTACTAGGCCGTACCCTCAAGGGGGGTCTGGGGGGTCAACCCCCCTCAGCCAAAGAAGGTCCGTTTTTTTAAAATTAATTTTAGAAGACAACTTCTTGATCAGCATTGTACGTGTTATTAAATTTACGGAAAGTAAATAAAAAGAAACGTCTTATAACACTTAAAACATATATTTACGCTTATACTGTTACTCACAAAACGGCCATTCGCCTATTGGGTGTGATGCTGCGATTGGAGTGTCCAATTGAAATCGATCACCACTTACCATCTTTTTTGTATATTTACCGTCTTGTAAGTAACAGTATAAGAGTAAATATATGTTTTAAGTGTTATAAGACGTTTCTTTTATTTACTTTCCGTATTGTCTTGTTTAAGAGGTTTGCGGCCTCTTTCAACCTTGCATTTGCCCGTCCACATCACATAGACTACAGATCCTGTGCGTGGAACGTATCCAGCAAAGCAAGGGGTGAGCCGGTACAGTACGAACACACGAAGGTGAACTGTACTGATAAATTTTAGTGGCAGTGACCAGGATCCGAACCCACGACATCATACTGCCTTGGGCCCGAAGTCCGTGATGCTACCGACTGAGCTTCCGACTCACCAAAGCATATTTTAGAAGCAAATTGTAAGTTTTGCGTGCGTTTTAGCAAGTTGGAATACCAAAACTAAAAATGTGTTTTTATCGATTGTTATACCTCATTAATCATAGAACAGAACAGTATCGGCTAAAATATCGAATTGAAGACGTAAAAGGTTGAAAAAATCATTTTGTTACCCTCTGCACGGTCTGATAAAAGGTACCTCTTGTCGCTCAATGTTATTTCGTTATGACGACAAGAGGTCCCATTTCTAATATATGGGACAGACTTTAGTCCAAAAAATGAATTATCCTCCATTCTAGAGGAAATTTAGAGGACTACAACAAAGTTCAGTTTACGGAAAACAAAATATCACACAAATTTTGCGGTCCCGACAAGAAGTAACCTTTTCTTATCTTATGGAAAAATAACATAGGGCCGACAACAGGTCCCTTTACTGAAATGTGATTTTTACAGACGTGCTTCAATAAAACAATTATTTAAATGAAAACTACAGGGAATTAAGACAAACATTAGTTTTGCATCCAAAGAGGACATTATAAGCTTTCTTTTGATACCAAAATCGTTTCTAAACAAAAAAAAAAACTGTTTTTACGCGTATTTGAAATTTTCGAAATTATTTTTCTCAAAGTGACGCCTTTCTAACTTAAAAAAATCGTAGATGCCTAGGACTTGCACCAATTAGTGATTCGGAATTTAATAAGGAATTCAAATATATATATATAATTCAAAATCAAAAATTCCCATCAAGAGAGTCCCTATTCGCTTTCCACATCACAAATAATTATACATTTTTGTTCTGTTGTTCGCAACCGAGGATCAGTTATCAATGCAAAATTTGAAACCCGATTCCAACTATAGATTAATTACCCCCCCCCCCTGAATTATCTTTTTCTTAACAGAATACTGTTATTATATAATATAAGATTACGGTAGAGGAAGGTTATCTAAGCTAGTTTTAATACTATAAAATACTTCAGATACCTACTTAGGAGGAAGATTATGTACAACATTTCTAAACCCTTATAACCAGTGCCATAATATATGTTGAAAATATTGTTGGTGTTTGAGCGGAAAATTAAATACCCCCGCCGCAGCAAACCTGCAGACTAAGCGAATTTCCATTTGACTGATTGGATTTACACTGAAATGTCTACTTAAAAATATAGCATTTATTCCCGATTTAAATAGAATTAGTTTAACAAGTACTTAGGTTTGCTGCATCAGGGAGGGTAAAACTGTTTTTTTTTTGTAAAATGTTAATAGTTAGTAAGAAATAAAAACATTTTCCAAATTTGATCAAAATATGTTCATAAACAAGCAAACTACAACAGTTTACTCATTCTCCATAAGAATAACATGGGAATTTTAAATTTACAATTTTTTGGAATTTTCTCCGTAACCATTAGGCGCATAATAACGCTTCAATATACTAAATTATTTGTTTTTTTAAGCTCTACAAAATGGTTTGGAAATAAATTGCTAAATTTTATGTTTTTTGGGTCAAAAATGGGAAAAACCTATTTTTACCCCATAAAACCCCCCGTAAACACCCGTTCCCATGGTCCGATCATGCTGGATCGCGAACTCGTTCGAATAAACGTAGGTTTACACGTTTGTACCAAATTTCATCAAAATCCGATCATTTTTGCTCGAGTTATCGTGCTGACGGACACATATATATATATATGAATTTGAACGGATTGTGTTTTTGGCCTCTAGGGACCTCAAAACGAAAAAAAAATCGGTCCCGCGTCCAGGTCTTACCATGAGTACTACGGTAATAGCTTATTCCCTATATGGGAAATTCGCTAAAAGAGAGCTGTTTGTTTTGATGAATCGGTACTTTCCTGTTAAAGGGAACATTCATTATTATCGATGATTATTTTCGATATATCGAAATTAACAAATTGAAACATATCAGCTGACAACTACGATAAATATTATTCAGTATATGAAACTGTTCCAAAAAAAATAACCTAACATAACTAACCAAACTTGCTGTAACATTTAAAAATTCCGTGTTTAACTTGCCTTTTCTATTATCAAACCCAGACGGAAGTTTTAAATGGTACAGCAAGTTTGGTTGGTTATGTTCATGGCCGCCTTTAACTACAAGGCCGCGGCCTGTAGTTAAAGGCGGCCGTGGTTATGTTAGGTTAGCTTAGAACAGTTTCATTTCTTAATCCATATAGACTATTTTAGCCTAAACAAGATCATTTAGTTGTTGTCAATTTGTAATAGATCTGATCGGAAACAAAAATATCGATATATCGAACAAATTTCATCGATAATAATGAATGTTCCCTTTAACAGGAAAGTACCGATGAATCTGACTGGACTGAACCATAGATTAAACATATCTAGTATGTTTAATCTATGACTGAACTTAACTGACGAAACTGACTGGACTTTAAGTTGGATGCGGTTGGATGGAGTTTTTGAAGTTGAATTGAAAGCAGGTTGAATTGAATTGAATTGAATTGAAATTGAAACGAAACTGAAAGTGAGAGTGAGATGAGATTAGGTATTTGTTTTTGTTGTCTGTCTAACTAACTCAAACGAAGAAACGAGTTTGTTTTGTTTAATAATTTAAATTATGAGTTTGGTTTGGATAACCTAGAAATTGTAAACTAGGTTTAGATAGTATCTGTTATCTTACTAGTTCTTAGTATTTCAAGTTCAAGTGCCTGAGGGATAAATTTGTCGTAATAGGTAAATTATCTATAATTATACTGTATTCTAAATGTTTTCAATGGACTGACACACTAGGGCCTAGGAGGCTCTATGGGGAGGAATTTCTACAAACAAAGAAACAAAAAGATGGTCTAAGACCTCAAGCACAGACAATATAATACTTTGTTGTATTTATTATAAGGTTTATTCCATTGTCTGTGCCTCAAGGGTTTGGCATCTGATAGGAATCTCATTAATGTAACTAAATTAAAGAAAATTTGAGTGTTCCTGTTTAGGCTTTTACTTTTAGGCCCACCAGATGGTAAACATTCGGTAATGTTCATTGAACACCATGATAAAAGAAATGACAATTAATTGTCATTGACCACTAAAGTTAGTCAAACTAAAGATAAGTTAAGTAAGAAACAGAGGATACATTCAATGGTAGGCCTACTTAGTTTTAAGTAGTGTCTAGCACCAATTGCTGGTGTCCAAAGCAAATTTTATTGGTTGTTCCCTTCTGCTCTACTTTGCCCCCTTGCCATCACATACAACAGCACTCTAGCCTTAAGCACGGGTCACACTAGGCTGGCATCAGCGGCGAATTGAAAGAAGCCGCGACTGTCAGCTTAATGTGACCACAAAATTTGCAGCTGACACTGAGCTGACTCAGCCTGGATTGGTGAGCCGGTGATGCTGGTGCCAGCTGCTGATCACCAGCGGCTGGCGAACAGCCTAGTGTGACCCGTGCTTTAGGAAGATATGTGCTACGGTACAAATGCTGTAAGCCAGAAATATGCTATGTGGCCTGCCTTTTGGGCTCTTGGACTCTATTATTTGATGTTTGATTTGTGCATGTTGAATTGTAATGCTTGATATGACTTAGCCTATTGTACAGTTTGTGTTTAATGGCCAAATAAAATGATTTATGATTTATTCCTGGTTCGGTACATTTCTGCCCCCAAAGCACAAGGTTGTCCACTCTTGCTTGTATCCTCTGTATCTTACTTCTCTGTGGCCAACACAATCCCTTAAAAGTCTATTAGGCCTAAGTGAGGGCTTGGCTTTTGAAAGCCCTTAAGTTACTGCAGAACAAGTGTAAGGCGCATTTACACTGGAGTTTTGTTTTAAGAAATGTTAGGGCCTAGCCTATCTAAGTTACTTTTAAACTTATGTTAAGTTATTGACATTTTGTTTTGACTTGTAACTTGTTTAATTCATTAAAATTTTACTACTTAAACATCCAAGCTTCCACGTCAGTTCCCACGATAATGCCAAGTGAGCACTGAGCAGGATTTGTTTCTTGCTGCTGCTGCCTGTTTGATTTTGGCGAAGCTGAGGAAACCAAGAAGATTTTGTGTTAAGCCTTCTCGGAAGGCAAGAACTATAAGTGGAAGTAGCATGTTGCAAGATTTAAATTATAGTTAGCGGCAAGTGGGATGTACAATACGCTACGTTCTAGTTCTAGGACCATTAGTCCACCCCTCTTATAATACAATATTTTAATATCAAATTTTAAACATACGTTTGGCCTAATGTTCTAGTGTAAGTTTAGACCAAGTTCTAATGCTTGTGGCCTATTCTGATTAAACTTCAGTGTCAATTTCTGAAGGCAATACGCTATTGCATTTTTCACCACCTTTCTAATCGACTCGCAGGTGAAAGGAATAGATTTTCCTAAATAAAAATGTTATGATTTAACAAAACAAGAATTTGCACTGCATAAAAACCCAACTGTTAATTTTACATAGGCTTGCCTTCATTATAGGCGAGCAGCCAAGGGTACAAAATAAAAGTAAATCTACAGATTCTTTGATTTTAACATCTTATCCATTTCCCTCCGCCCAACTTAATTAACTTAGTTAGGCCTACTTTGTTTTCAGATTGATCATTATGAAAAATGACAGTGAAACAATGGCTAAACTTTCATCATCACCCAAATTTGCCAAGACAGCCCGAGAGTGGATCCTTGCTTCGGCATTATACGACGGAATCGAAGACGAGGATATTAGGTTTCAGTACAATTATTTACTTGACAAATTAAGGTTTTAAGTTAAATATAAGCTGGCTTATTCATTTATCTTATTTTTATTTAGCTTATTGGTTTCATTTCACTACCTACCATCCTTAATGTTCAGTTTTATTTTATTGAGTTTTCAGCTTACCCTCAGTAAAAAATTGGGATACAGTTCCACAGATAACTACAGTAGACTCCCTCTTATCTGGACTCCTCAGGACCGAGGCCAGTCCAGATAACTGTTTTTCCGGTTAAAACGACCTCCAAAATCTCTTAAAAACAGACCGTTTACTGTGATATTCGACTTAAATTCAGGAGAGCATTGTATTTAGACACGTGATCACTACGGTAGTCTAAAATCTTTCCCCACGAGAACAGTCGTTTCAGTACCGCCCACTTCCTGCTGATCTAGTCCGGTTAAACCAATGTGCTGATAAAAATTGTCCGGTTAAAGAGATGTCATTTCCGCCAAGTGTAGTCCGGTTAAAAGGTGTCCAGATAAGAGGGAGTCTACTGTATATTAAGATAACTTATAGTCTATAGGCTAATTTAATTTTTTTGTCTTAACTTATGTCCATTTTATTGGTTTTAGAAAAAGGTAAATTTTTTAAATAAGGTACCTTGTTTGCCATTATCTTAAACTAAACTAAACCAACCTTTCCTTTAAACGCCACAGCACATTGTGAAAGTGTTATAAAAGACTCATGACAGAAAATCAATATTTACATTCAATATTTAAACTTATATAGAATTAAATATTTTATTTATATTTATATCGGACTAAGTTAATATTTCTTTCAAGGTTTCAATAATATATCGTAGATTCTCTGCGATGCTGTAGGCCTACCCAAAAATTGATCCTACAGGCACCAAGATGTTTTAAATTTTACTTTTTTTTATTTTTACAAGCAATAAGTTTTGACACAACCGCAAAACTACGTTAGCTGCTGTTAATTCTACCAACTTGGCAGAGACTATATGGATGGCCTACCGATATTATTATAATTATTGATCATGGACATAGGTTTATTTTACCTGCTTTTTCAGATAGTGTTGTTTTTACTTAAGTCTCAGTTATGTCACTTATAATTTGCATACAACTTGTCTACTGAAGAATATACCTAAACTCTAGAGAAATAATACAAATCAACTAGGCTGATACGGTTATTATTTACTCTGAAAACTACACTATGACTTACATGTACTGTACTGTAATGTATGTTATTAGCCTATAGGTAAAATTTATTACTAGTATAATGAGAACAAACACAGCCTAGGTGAACAGTTTTTACAATCATAAGAGTGTTGTAAAATTTCTACTTTGTGTTAGCTGTTATGAAAAACAAGAAACTAATAGCACGATAATTTATTTAAAATATAAAAACTTAAAACTAAACCTTTATAACATACAATCGACTCAAACTACAACCAACCAAACTACAATCGATTTAAACTAGCTGTTACAGTTAAAAGTTTTGGAATTGAAGATTCACTTAACAGCATTTTTGTTTTACTTAAAGTACAACACGAGTAACGGATAAATGGGGTTCAAGGATTGAGAGAAAAGAAGTCAAATTGTAATTCTTCAATCTTCAACTTATTGGCTGTTAAGACCAATTAATTGGTTAGACAATGAGTGAGTGGTTGGGACAATAAGTTGTTGCACACAATCAGTGGCTAAGAGAGAATGGTTATAAACGAAAAAAAAACCTTTTTGGATGTTATGAGAAGTGATTTTTTGTAATTATGAAACGGATGTAGGCAAAGAGTGTACGCAACTTGCGTAAATAGCCTTAACAACACTTTTAGAAGTTTTAAAGGCACTCGCCAAGGCTCTTACCTTAAAGTTTCTACTTGTGTTGTTAAGACTATCCTTACGTGATCGTTGCGTAAACTACTATAACATTTTTTATTGTAAACAGGTTTAAGGGACACTATTGATCAATGGACTCATTTTGCTATTGAAATTTGACACTTTTATCTAAACCCCGGTCTGACAGGCCCACGGGAATTTTCACAAACGCATATTGGCAACACTGTTTGCTTGGGGGATTCCATTCCCCCAATACCTTCCCCCCTTTTCCTCCCCTACCTGTTGATATATTGTTTGTTAATTTTGCGTGGGTGTCATGACCTTGACAGAACATGACTGTTGACAGGTTGTCTGTTCATAACATGCCCGTCTCAAAAGCCCAGCGTTAGTGTGTGTATTTTAAAGGGGGTCTCACAGGCTCAGGGTTTCGGTTTGTGTGTTTCTAAGCGGGGTCCATTATTTTCAAATGGGGTCTTACAGACTGGGGGTTTCGGTTAGTGTCAGCCTGGGTCTGTATGTTAGTAGTCCTGAGCCTGGGTAGGGTTTCGGTATTAGTGTTAAACTAGTAACTAAAATTGATATTGCTTTTTTAAAGACAAATTGAGATGCTAGTCTCGGAGAGAGGTGCCAACCCAAATGTTCTACTACCCGAGTACGGGATCTCTCCGTTTCACCTAGTGGTGGCTAATGAGAGCACGACATTTGCTGTAAGAGCCACGGACCTTTGCCTTCAACATGGTGCGGACCCTAATGTCAGGTAGTGTTATTTTCTCTTGCAATTAGTCTGTACCACGAAATATTAATGTTGATAGAAGATAGTAACGATACTATGGTTTGGACTGTTCCCTTAAAACATCAGGAAACCCTAAAGGCGTAGACATGGATAAAATAGGCTAGAAAATACAACGTTTAAAAATAAGTAAATTGATTCCCTATTGTTAGGTCAGAACTTCAAAACAGCAGACAAACTAATTATTTCAATATCTTGAGCCATAGTGTTTTTTAGCCTAAAAATGTATATATAAAAACTAAATATGCTGTTAAATGTTGTATGGCCTAATCAAATCATTGGATCATGTGAAGAAACAGGTTTAAAATTTAGAATTAGTTTTCTTTAGAAGTTTGCTTATTTATGCAGAATTTTATCTATATATTTAATACACAGTTGTAACACTGTTCTCTCAGTAATTACTTGACCGATCTACAAGATTTATGTCTCAAATTAAAGGGGATAGTGTGTAGATTTACCAAACTTCCTTATAATTTACGTTTTTTCTAAGGGCTACGACCTACATCCCTTAAAGGTCGAGTCAATACAATTCTTATTGAAGAATATAATACACAGTTTATAAATTATTCGTCAGCTGTTTAATGTTTGTCAGACATTTGTTATTATTTTTATAACCTCACTTTCAGTAAGTAGTTATTAATCTAGGTGTTCCTGTAAAAAAAAAACACCCGATTTTGTACAAGGAAAAGTTTATTTGTTAACTTTTTATACCACAATGTGTTATTTATAAATGTATTTGAACATTATTTGTAGCCTATGTTTTGGAATGAATTTTGTATTTTCTAATAATGTGTTAGTTATCCTGCAAAGTGATTTGAAGGAAAGTGGTAATTAATGAGTTTAAGTTTGAGTATGGAATGTAAAATAATACACATAGGGGACTAAAACTTATTGTTTCGATCAATATAATTTATTCTCTACGGCCACCAAACAATCATAGGGAAATCCGCTTGCAAGTTGTACAGATAATTGCTAATGAGTGGGAAACGTAAAAACATTTTATCGTAGGTGATGAATCTTACTCAAGTTAGACTTTTAGCAGTACCAAAATTTCCCTTTCAAGATGGCGAGTACTCTGGATATGTGGAACTACAATTTATCAGTGAACTATACCCAAACATTTTTTTCGAGTACACAGGGTAGTTGATTGAGAAACAGTGACTTACAAATTCGGTTCTGGCGAAGAAGTGCTTGACTTAATGTTTAATTGCAATGTTGACTAGGGTTATTACAGTGTTATAAAACTTTGTCATGATTCCCTGGGTGTGAAATAAACAAAAATAAAAAGAAAAGGTAAAAAGTCACTAACTCTGCGTAAAGAGACAGCCAGAACGAAAAAACACGTGGAGAACCATCGAACCAAAGAAGTAAATTGCAGTTAAATGTGCTCTGGAAGTCACTACAAAAAACACCGATTCTTTTGTATTGGGATCGTTTAATTAGATTTGTCACAACTGCAAATCTATGAATATTGAGTCAGAACAGACTAACAGGGACACAAATATATTCTCCTTATGTTGCCATAATGTGAAGGTAAAATTAGCTCCTTATCAACAAATATTTGAATAATACATTTATTGCAATGGCGAGTTCTAACTCTCACTTAGATGAATCAACATCATTTTGGTACTTCATATAATTTTAAGATTCGGGACTACTTTTACCATCGGATTGGACCGTTAATAACCTCTAACATTTGGCTAAACTAATAAATGGGTTTGATTAACATAAATAGTTTATACAGGCCAATTATCAGTTCTATTTCGTGTAAAAAAATAAGCAGCCCCTAAAAAAATACAAAGATAAACAGTATTTGTTAATATTATTATGTCTCTTATTGTTGACAATATTCCCGTGGCGGAGCACGGGCGGTTACCTAGTCTTTTTAAATTCAATTTTACAATAAATATGTACCAGAAATAAATTGTTTTGGATTTCAAATTGCCACTTCACCTAGCAAGAAAATGGTGAGGATATATCGGCAAAACAAAACTTATTTTTCCTTAATTTTCTTATGTTTTTGCAACAATTCTTTGTAACATTAAGTAGCAACAAACATTTTAGTAGGCAATACAAATTATAATTATAATAAAATTATATAACACATACAATATTATACAAAAATGGACTGTAAAAGTAAAGTTTTTTTATTTCATTAAGCGTTTTTTATGATTTAGATCAGAAGACGGGTTGACGCCAGTCCATCTGGCAGCTATGTGGGGATGTGTGGAAGTGTTACATCTGCTATTGGCTAGCGGAGGCAACCCTTGGCTAGTGGACGACCTCGGACTAAACGCCTTCCACTACGCAATACAAGAGAAACAACACAAGTGCTACCAACTGCTCAAAACTCTGTGTAACTCTCAGCCTAAACAGTCCGGATGTCAAAAGTCACCGTACCATTTGAATCTCAGTGAGTAATACAATAATTGACTATGAATAGATTCTATTTTGTTTTTGATAGGAACAACAAGTTAACCTGTACAGTAATTAAATAGTCTCAATAGGAAACACATATAAACATATTAGTCAATCACAAAGAAAGGATGAATGCTATGGTGCAAAAGTCAATATTAATTCTCAAAGTGTACGAGTTTTAAACAGGTACAACGTAACATACTTCTGCTCAGAATTAAATATTCAAATTGCATTCCAGAGCGAGTAATTCTCTACAAGAATGATCTACAGATTGTGTACGAAGCTTCACCTTCAAGCGCTCAGAAATCTACGTCAACTCAGACCTCACCTAATGCTCCAAGACAGGCTTCAATTGAGGTATGTTCAAAATACCCCCGCCGCAGCAAACCTGCAGACTAAGCGAATTTCCATATGTCTGATTGGATTTACACTAAAATGTCTATTTCCTATTTAAATAGAATTATTTTAACAGGTACTTAGGTTTGCTGCATCAGGGAGGGTAAAACTTTTTTTGTAAAATGTTGATAGTTAGTAAGAAATAAAAACATTTTCCAAATTTGATCAAAATATGTTCATAAACAAGCAAACTACAACAGTTTACTCATTCTCCATAAGAATAACATGGGAATTTAAAATTTACATTTTTTTGGAATTTTCTCCGTAACCATTAGGCGCATAGTAACACTTCAATATACTAAATTATTTGTTTTTTTAAGCTCTACAAAATGGTTTGAAAAGATTTTGCAAAATTTTATTTTTTTTGGGTCAAAAATGGGAAAAACCTATTTTTACCCCATAAAACCCCCCGTAAACCCCCGTTCCCATAGTCCGATCATGCTGGTTCGCGAACTCGTTCGAGTTTATCCCGCCTTACACCTTCAAACCAAATTTTATCAAAATCGGACAAAAATTACTCAAGTTATCGTGCGGATGGACACATATATATATATATATAGATATATACAAATTTGAACGAATGGTGTTTTTGGCCTCTGGGGACATCAAAATGAAAAAGTAAATCGGTCCCGGGCCTAGGTCTTACCATGAGACCTACGGTAATAGCTACTTCCCTATAGGGAAATTCGCTAAAACTATTTTGAAAAAGGCTAATAATTTTAGAGCTTATTTTTGGATTGAATAAGATTTTTTCTGTTACTATGGTGGACTTTTTCTTACTAAGATGGAAAGGAAGTCATTGAGTAACAATTTTCCTACCTCTCTTACAATGCAGTTTTATAAATCATTTTTAAGTTTGAGAGTTTAGTTTAGTTTCAATTGGTAATACTTTTTTGAACACAAATATCCATTTTCTGTAACCACTTTTTAGTTTTTAATTGCTCAGCTACTGCAGTGTTAAATAAAACATGTAATTTAACAATTTCTCTTAGATTAATTTAACATCTTCCTGTAAACAAAACATACTATTTACTAGTTACCATATTATTTAAATTTGTAGACACCATCAACATTCTTTTTGATAGTTTACGTCTAAATGGCCTGATTTTTTTCAGGGAACCACAAATGGTCTGAAAAAAAAGAACTGCTCTTCCAAAACAGAGCTCGTTGAAAAGGATGGAAATTTCCAACATCATGATTCACCTGTCACCTCAAAGCTCAAATCAATAATTGAAACTCACAGAAGAAACTCAACACTTTTTGAATATTCACCTTCCAATGAGAGAAAAAGCAGTTTGAGCAGCGGAGTGGACTCATGGAAGTGTACGGATCAAAGTGACGCAGTCATGACCTGTTATTCTGAACTGGTCAGTAAATTGAACGAATTCAACAGAATAAGACAATCACTAAAAGAGAGTGATGGTAATGACTTGTTAAAAAAAATAACCCAACGTAAAGTTCCATGTGCAACTCCTAAACCTTATACAGCTCCACCTCGGACTTCTAACTCCACTTGCGACTCATCTTTCTGTGACAAATCCAACCAGTACGATGTGCCCAAAAATGAAATAGCTTTTGTACAGGATAGTACGAAAGCAAACTCTACTTTGGATGATGGAAATTCTCAGTTAAACGAGTCTTCTCCTAGTATAGGATTCATACTAGACAACTTAAGTGATTTGTGCAATCAAGACAACAGTTTGTTTTCTGACATTGCTTCCGACATTGACGCATTCACAACTCCAGTACAAAATGATGTAGAGAACATGACGGAAGATGAAGTGATTGTTATAAGTTCAACTGAGAATACTTTAAATGACTCGGTTTACCCTTTTGTATCCTGTGAAAACACGGCGGCAAGAGAATCAAACGAAGAGTTTGTTACTTGTAGAAACTCAGAGTCTTTTTTAGAGGGAATCAAAAACAAACAGGAACCACCAGCAATTGTGGATGCCTTAAACAATTATTTTGAAAAAAATCCGAGATCTTCAACAAATTCAGAAGTGTTTAAAACAAGCACACCCGAAAAACCAGGTTAGTGTCTAAAACAGTTTGAATATTGATTGGGTAAGAATTTAGGCTTAGATAAGTCTGTCAGGTACTACTGGTAATGTATGATACAGTCCTAACTACAATGACATAAATCTACCTTCTGTCTGTAATATTTTGCTTGCAATTGTTATCCATTCCTCAATTGATCTTGCCAGGTAATCTATTTTAATGCATTGTTTGTGACTGACTACTCATATGCCCCAATCATCATCCATTACATGTATAAGATTAAGGCCACTTTGAAACAACTTTGATTATGCGTTTGGATCTATGTAAAAAAGTCTATTCAAACAATTTATTAATACTAGTGCCCCTGTTGCTCGAATTCGAGCAATTGCTAAGAATTACAGGCGTTATTTTAAAACGACTAACAGTCATAATTTCTGATGACTTTAAAAGCGATTATAAATTATAAAAAAAAACATTATTTCTATTTCTTCTCCTTGGTTGTGTTCTATGACTTTCCTATATTTCCATAGTTTGCAAATCGGGTCTTTCAATGATTATTAAGAAATGCAGCACAGTGTTAATTAATTCAGTTCTCTTTTTAGTATATCAATTTATACAGGCTCTCTCGCTTTTTTCCATTGTATTATTTACACCAACCCAAATTCAAATAGTAAATATTTCATTTCAACCAAGTCAGTAAATCTCAACGTTATATTGCTTTCTTGATCCACTAGTCACTACTATTCCAAACATCTCCCACCCTATGGTACGATTCATAGTATTTTAAAATATTTCCAAAGAAAATTGACCCTCTCGCCAAGTATAAAAGGCTTTCTAAGATTACATTTCTGGGATCTCACTCGACCATCGCTTTTGAAGTTCATCACCAATTCACAAACGTGAATGGAGTAAAGTGTAGGCCTTTTGAAGTTCAAAGGGTTGAGAGAGATTGGATGCGAAAGGAGATCAGAGGTGGTCTTGAAGGTGTTTTCCATGGTGTAGGCTGACTGCTGTTGTTCTTCAGACTTGTTTAAAGCTGTGACCAAATTATATGGATCGCGGTGTGACTAAACGAGAAGGATTGTCTAACTAATATTGGACGTCACTAACTCACTATTAGACTAAGGACTACGGTCAGCCCTGGAAGTCTGAAACATGTTGGTCACCAAGCAAAGTTTCTTGAAATTCAAAGTCTATCTTGAAAAACTTATTATGGTTCCATACTTTTATCTAGAGTTGTTTGAAATCATTACGACAAAAGTGAAACTTCTTCAACAAATTATAATCTGAACTCAATATTGATAGTGTACATTTTCCAGCTCGTGGAAGTAAAGAAAACACCTTCCTATCAGTGTTGGATGATCCGAACACTGGTGGTGGAAAGTGTGACGGAGCCGTGGCTAGGAAGCTATCCTGGGTGGAGGCTCAAGTTGTCTCTTCCGATGAGGAACCTTACATCAGTATATCTGAGGAGTACGAGTACACTGACTTAGACGAGGGAGTTGTTCTTATAGAGAAACGCTACTTGACGAAAGACATCAGGTGAGCAGTTTAGATTGTAGAAGAATGTTTACTGAAATACATCAAACAATCTGCTTCGATATAACGCTCAGTAATTAGAAGGTTGTTGATAGTACAGTCCAGAGAAAAGATATTAATTAGCTTTTCGATGGTTTGAAACTACTCCTATCCTAGTATGTCGGCCTTATAAAAATCTTAACTTATCTAGAAACTACTAAAGAATTTTTTTCCTGTAAGATTTAAGGGAGAGAGAATGCAATCAGCTGATTCTGATTGCATGTTAAATTGTAAGGTTAGGGAGTCCTTACTCGGTAGGCCTAAGGTAATTTATGGTGTTTTCATCTAGGACCGCTAAACATTCCTCATTTACTTTAGTAAATTTTGGATTTAGGAAACAACATGTGAACTTATAGACCTTTAATTAGGACCAAAATGTGTATTTTTTTGAATGTCATGTTTTTAGGCGAGGTTTATTATATTGATCAGCTTGTGGGCTTCACACCACGGCGTTTCGCAGGATGTTATTTCTGGTCCCGCGAAACGTAGGAGTATATCCAAAGACGATTTTTTAAATGTGCGTGTATGTTATGTGTTTGTGTCTTCGTTGAGTTACATTTTGAGGAGTCCTGGATTAACAAATTAGTGTGAGTGAAGCCCACTAGCTGGTCAACAAAATGTATAGTGTGAACTGTCTCTTTTTAAAGTTCTGTTAAAAACCCGTTAATGACTAAAAGTGGTGCAAATATAAACACTTAATCACAATAGTGTTCAAACTGCCAAACATCATTTTAAAAATTGTTGTATTTTCCTCTAAAAATCACACACAATTTGTTTACCTTAATTTTTAATCTCAAGTGTGCATTTATATCATGAATAATGAATATGATTACCTACAGTATTTATTTTTTCCATTCTTCATTTCATGACAAACATAACATATAATTTGAATATTTAATGAATATCTAACCTATCTATTTTTAATTTCTATAATCATTCTATATTCGAAATATAAATTTAGCAGACATTTTTTAGGTACTGTAGTTGTTAGGTTAGTTTTAGATATGATGAATTATCTAAAATTTGTAATGTTGGTGACTAACAGTAGGTCTGTTCAGTACATAATGCAAACTTAATATTGGATTGCAATGAGTCATGTTTAGTATCGAGTATCAACATTAGCTTTGGAGGTCAGCTGATCTTACTATCTGTGTGGCACTTCATTATCAGTTTGTGTACTGTACATCACTTTGTGATCAATTAGTTGAGCTGTATATCTGCTGCTGGGTTTGATTCTAGTAAAATAATAACATAGCTTAGTGATTTGTTATCAAACCGGATACTTAACCTAGGTAAGAACACAATCCTTTTCAGTAATCATTGTTACTAAAATCTTCTAGTTCATTTTTTAGTTTATTTGGAGGTTGTGTTTAAAATGCATACGTTCACACCTTACAGTGGTGTTTACACTTTGCTGTCTTAGACTTATTATGTTGGAAAATGTTTGTTTAAATAAGCTCTTACTCTTTTGTAGAAAAGCTGACTTTTTAAATATAAATTTTTTAAATGATTGCAAAGTTTGATGTTAGCTTTTCAATGACAATTTATTTTTTAAAGGAAAACCAATTGGCTAGTAACATTTTTTTTAAGAAACAGTGTTTAGCTTTCTTACCTGACAAAACGAAAATCCAGGGACTAATAGAAAAATAATAAAAGAGCAAAAGGTATAACAGTGATATTTCATCCTGATGTAGAACTTCTTTAAAGAGGAGACCCTGGACTCAAGTTCTCAAGTACTGTAAGCTAACAGAAAGAGGTTTTTCTTTTATTATTTATTTTCTGTACTTGTGTAGTGTGTATATTTTATGAGGCTGAGGGTTTACCATCCAGTATGCCTTTAATCCTCAATTGTAAATATATGTTGTTACGTTTATTTCTTTTTTCAGTATGTCAGCTTCAGGACCTGATGGTAAAGGTGCAAGAGAAAGCTCTAGTAGTGGTGAGTCGTTAAATGGTTTTGGAAATGTTGTGAATTTTTTTGTCAGTTTGATTGTTGAACATTTTTAACTTAAAAAATGTAAGTTATCCCTTAAACCGTATAGGCTACAATGTACTGTTTAGTGTAGGTGGAGATTGTTTAATAGTAGTTTACGCAACGATCGTGTAAAGATAGTGTTAAAGACACGAGTAGAAATTTAAGTAGGCTACTACAAGCATTGGCGAGTGCCTTTAAAACATCCTTGTAAAAACTATTTACGCGAGTTGCGTACACTACTTTACCTACAACCGATTTTTAATTTCTAACAATCACTACACAACTCATAACTTCTAAGAGAAGTTATGTTTTGTTTATAACCTCTCATTGCCACTGACAGTGATGCAACAAAACATTGAACCAAACACTAATGGTTGAAACTCACATATTTATTGTTTGTCGTTCATTTATATTTTCACTTACTATTCTTGTTTGTTGTTCATGTTCATTGGTTGTTATTTAAAGTTTTGATTTGTGTACTTCTATTTAGTATGCTTGTACCTGATGTAAATGACCTAATTTATTTTGTAAATACTACAGTTTAAGCCAGTTTTTCTCCTATTTTGATACTGCTCAAATAGTTTTTACTTCACTGCATGTCATAAAAAAAAAAAAAAAATACTTTTGTATGTAATGTTTAAGTTGGATTAAGTCATCTTGTATACCATATTGTAAATTGGTTCTTGACCGTTGGAAGGTAAAATAAATAAATAATTAAATAAATAAATTGCACTGATCATTAACAATTAAATTTGATAAATAGCTCATTAGTTGAAGTTCAAAGCATTACAATTTTACTTCTTTTCTCTCAATCCTTGAACTTCATTGGTCTGTAACAAAACATCATTGTGTAACAAAACTTAAAACAATGCGGTTAAGTAAGTAAACAATGCTGTTAGGTGGATCTTCTCCATTATAATAACTGAACTGAAACGGCTTGTTTTAAAAACAGTCGTAGGTAAAATATTTATTATTTAAAGCGCACTTCTGATTGGGTGGTGGGTTTAAAATCATGCCAATCATTAAATAGGCCTACTTATTTCAAGTAAAAATTAAGCTAGCTTATCTGAAAATTAGAGTCCATGGGCTAATTGATACTTTAGGCCTACACAAATTAAAAATTACAAACATAACAGTGATGACACTGATATTTCTTTGCCTTAATTTAGGACCTCTTTAGAGAGGACCTCTTTTTCATCATTCATTTTCTGTAATTGGCCTATCTTTAACATCAGTGCCCAACAAGTCAAGCAGTTGACAGTAATTATAAGTCCTGTTGTAATATCAAACACAACAATGATGCTATATTTCAGAGTGTGAATCGGTGTCAACACTGTCAGGGTCGGAAGGAGCGTACGAGACGGATGACTTGCGGCGAGCCCTCGTGCAGCACGGGTTTGTCCCTGGACCAATCACAGGCAACACAAAGCGTGTGTATCTGCGAAAGCTCAAGCGTTGTCGACGCAAGCCTCAGTCACAACCTTCACCTGACTCTAGTCTACCAGGTATGGGTCATTGTCCTGTTATGTAATTGTGACTGTGAAATAAACTGTATGCTGTCACGTCAAGGTGTTTGATTTGTGTCTTGAGTGTATTTAAATAGGCAAAAGTAAACAAAAGTCTTGTTATAGGATATGTGCTGCGTTTAAGCACGACTTTGACCTTGACCACAAGAAGTATGTAAAATAAATTCAAATAAATCTTTAATCAAGTCTTACAAAATAAAAGTGAACATGAATTTGTCATTGTTATAAATGACTTTAGTCCAATACTAACTTATGTACAAAGATATTTACTGTATTACAATTCATTATACAGACTATTATACAGTAATACAAAATTAGCCATGTCTTATGCTATGTTTTTACCAATTCTCCTTCAATATAAAATACATGTAATGTATTACAAAATTTAAAAGCTCAAAAAGGTCAATATATAATAATATTTAATGTGGAATTAAACAACATTGATTTGCCAATATCTCCAATATAAGTTATTCATGTTAAATTTGAAATCTCTTAAGTTTATTTTAGAACTTGTTAGAGCCTTATTATGCGCGGCCACTCGAGTGGCGCACGACCGCGACTGCTCAAAGGCCACTTTTAGCGGGCCATGTTATCATATGGAGCTTATTAAGCGACGCGACTGCGGTGGCGAGGCATGCGGCAGTCGCGCACCCTCGCTACTAGTCGCGAGCCCACGCGACTGTCGCGTCACCAGCAGGCCATGTTATCATATGCTGTTTATTACGCGCGGCCACAGTCGCGGGCCACAGCGGACCCAACTCTCTACACTTGCCTCAATCCTGATATTTGTTTCAACAATTTATTATATTAACTATAATATCTATATATTAATAAATATTGGTTTTCTTTTCCGAGTCGGTTCGGCTCTTCTACCTGACCGATTTTTATAATTTTGGTCTTAAATTTAAGGTATTCATAAACAAATTTGGCACCAAGCATCATCATTTATGTATCTACTGTATTATTCGACAAAAAAAATTAACCAGATTTTTTTTAATTCTTCAATTAAAGCCGTATTTCGCCAGTTGTGATTACATTATCCTATATGTTTTGGTCTAAGAACATTCAGTAAAATGCCAACTTTAATTTTGAGCTATTAATTACTAAGATCGGACGTACGTGAAGCACGCTACTGATTGACGAATCAACAATAATAATTATTATTTTAACACTTATCTGCAATTAATGATACGCAACTCCATTTTTAGTTATTCTAAATGTCTTAGACTTAAAATGGGACTAACCCTCAAAACAAAGGCTTTCATTTGAGATGCTAACACCATTTGAATCAGTTAAGTTCAATATACTGTCTGTATTACTCAATTATTACCACTATATTGTGAATACTATGTTGACCCGGGCAACGAGTTTTGCTGCTAATATTGTATTAGTATTATGATTAAATCAAGTCAAAACCATTATAATATTTAATTTAAGGTAAGTACTTGCCTCTCCTTAGCTGAAATAAAATTATTCATTTTCTTAAGCGATACGGATGAGTCACCTTATATTCTTCCTAAAAAGGACGTCTCGTCTCCCGGAAACAACCAAAATACATCTTGTCATCATCTCTGAAATCATCATATAAACACTGAAAAATACCCCTGAGGTCTTACTTTTAGAAACGGATTGCCTCCCAATACTTTAGTTTCGTCTACGTTTACGACGCTTAAGTAAAAGTAAAATAAATAGTTCAGCTTCTTTACTTATTCACTCTGAGAAACTACATGTATGTATGTAAAAAATTCAGTCAGTCGCGTGGCCTCGCCACACCTGTCGCTACCCCAAGCCACACCTGTGGCTACCCCAAGCGACTGGCAGTCGCGGTCGCGCGCGACTCGAGTGGCCGCGCATAATAAGGCTCTTAGAGTTTTCCTCATTTCTAATAAAGCAAGGGAGGGAATGAATTGGCTAATTCAAATCTAGTTAAGGCTTCCTTTAAATTTTTTACGTCATTGTATCATGCATGCGTAATTTACCAAATCTTGTAAAAAACTATTAACTGGATCATATTTAGTAGTATTAAACTTAAAAATATGAAAAACCTGATGATATTAATATTTAGTAGTGAAAGAGTTAAATATGGTTAAGAGATAAAAAAAATAAACATAATACACTGTAAACACATAATAAGTTGTTCTTGTCATATACTACTAAGTGTTGAAGGTTACAAAATATGAATAAAAGATCTTCCTCCACAAAATACAAATGTTATGGTTTCAAGAGGATGTCTTTCTAGGATGTGTTTTAGTCTTAGTCTTAGACAATTAATTGACCTAAATCCCATCTTAAGTTATTATTTTTACTTAAAATAAGTAGTTGAAGCAACTCACTAGGTGAGGTAGCATTTTCACAACTGAACGCTGCTTGTATCCTAGTCACTCCCGTGTTCTTCTTAGCCACTTGTCTCGTGAACGGGGCCTTATTGACAGCCAGCGTTTTTCTTTAATTGGTACTTACGTATCATACCGACCGCAAAGATCGACTTCCAAATAAGATTTTAGTTAGTTTAAATAACAAAATCTTCCTAACCTAACCTAAAACATAGTCCACCATAGGTTAGGTTATTAGGTGGGGTCGGTATAATACCTAAGTACCCTTTAATTAATTGAGAGAAGATTGAAGAAGAAAACAGTCATTGAAAAAACAAACACTCTCCGAAGAAGTTCTACACTAAAACAAAATATCAGTGTTGTCTGATTGTTGTGTATGTATCTCAAAGCCTTGGGCTGTACAGTTTTTTACTTAATCCAGTGAAATTAGTCCTGTACTAGATAAAACCATAGATAAAACAAACTCCCTTAGTAGATTTCTCATCCTTATGGAACAGCTGAAGCCAATTTTATTGTTGGTTCTGTACGTCCAACTGTAGATTTTGTGTTTTGTTTACAATATGTTTCTTGTTATTTCAGTCATTTAAAACCTCATTCTACCAAATAAAACAATGTAATTATAAACAATAACTGGTCTCCTAGTTATATAACCAAACAGTGGGACACAAATAATGAGAAACTTACCCTAAAAGAAAAGAAACAAAATTTTGTCCTCCCCAGCGATCAGTGTGGACGTACATGAACTAGACTCGAAAAACAAGCTTCAAAATTTACAATGGGATAAGGAGTCTACTTGTGTTGCTTAGTCTATGATGAAACTCTCAAGTTAGCCACAATATTTTACTAACAACCAATTCCAAATAATCTCTAAATTGACCACTTGTCTGGTCCTAAAATCCAAATTCTTTTCCTGTTCCCATGGTCACATTCGATCCTATACCTCAGGTTGATGCCTGTTAACGGTTGTGTGGTTTGCAGCGTTCAGCACTGAGCTGCTCAAGACATTGGCTCAGCCGTGCGAACACTTGCTGGCTGAGTGGTCTCACCTCGAGGACTCCATGACTGGTAATGAACAAATTTACACAAGTAAAATTATACTCTCCTAATTAACATGAATGTTATACCCTTTAATTAATTGGGGTACCCAGGGTACTGTACTTCTTTTGTTGGCAAAATGGAACTTTACAAATCCGCATTGAAGAAAATAAATTTTATCTGTTTGAGTTGATCCGTCACAGAAGTAAGATACAGAGGAAACAAGCTTATGGGACAACCATGCACCTTCAGCTCCGGTAGGTTGTGGTGAAAATGTACTAGTATCAAACAAGGAAGACCCTGAACAGTGATGGACATCTGGCATATTTGTACAGCAGTTGTAGCAAACAGGGTCTTCCTACTGTGTGAGTGCTATAGTATGTGATGGCGAGGGGGGAAGGAGAGCGGAGCGGGACGACGAATAGAATTTTCTCTAGACACCAGCGATTTGTAGGGTCACCACTTGAGTTTAAGATTGAATTTATCCTCTGTTTCTTACTTCTCTGTGGCTTAGTTAGTTGACAATTTCAGTGCCGGTACACAACACAGGATCAACAGTTGGAGAGGGATTGATTAAAGTATAACTAACATGTGTTCTAAAATCAAAATGTAAAAAAAAAATACGGCTTATAAGAAAAAGAAAGGCACAACAAGTAGTTAGCAATCTACCAACATAATTTGAGAAAGATGAGCTTAAGCCTTGGTTTTAAGAATTTTGGGGTGGATAGGATAAACAGCTGGCTTACCCATATTGCAAATAATCTTCTATAATATTAAAACGAAACAGGGTATTTTTATTTCACGATTCTGAATCAACCACTTGACGGATTTTCATGATTTTTCTGTTGAAAGAAAGATAATTTTGAGAACTAGGGAATGTCAAAGCCATAATTTTAGTTTAGGGTTTCAGTTTTTTAGAAATTAAGTTTTAATTTTTAAAAAGTCTAGCAGCCGACGCTAGCAATTTAAAGTATTTTCAATGCTGGTTTAACTAACAGCTGGTTTATAACTGTCATTGAAATGTTTATGTTACGAGTTGTTTGTTTACAAAAATATTGTTCGTTGGTGTTTGCCTACATACTATTTCACTTTAAAATGTAGGTAGTTTTCCCCTACCGTGAAGGATCTGCGTTATCAGGAAATGTGTTATTTTGAACTAGACATCTCAAACACTTGCGTTTAATCAAGTTTTGTCGTAAATGCAATCCGTGTAAGTATTTAGTTTATGCATTGCGAATTTCAACTCATATTTGTGAAGTATTTTTTCAGCAGTTTATCGCTTAATTGTTTAAGATATAAGTGGTTTACGTGTCGATACTTCTTTATCTTTATGTTTGAATGTGAGTATATCGGCATACTAAAATTTTGGTTAGTAATGAAAGCGTCAATCGGTGTAGTAGGTCTCTATAAAACTGTCAAATAAACTGCAGCAGAAACCAAAGTCGACTCATACCATACCAACTATCCCTGTAGTACTGATGATTCAGAAACTTGGGCACTGACCAAAGAACCGAAAAACCTTAATGCTGGGTTAGATAATAAAAGTGCAGAGAAAATATACAGACCAGTTCAAGATTACGGCCCGGAGGTCGAAATAAAAAAGAACAGAGAGCTAAGAGAAATGTGTTAACAACCAAATATAGGGATGCTTTCCAGAAGTAGGTACAGCTTGGATGGACAGGCTCTGCATAAACTTTTAAAAAGTATATTCCAAGGAGTACCACACAATAGACGGGAAATATCAAGTTATGAAATGCGTCCTCAGACTGGGATCTAAAGTTTGAAGAGGCAGGTGATAGAAGAGAATCCTCATAAAAGTTTCAGTGGTCACGGAGGTAAGATAAGGTACGGTAAGTACATAAGTAGTACAGTATGCAATTAGAGGTGGGATGCAGCTACTCTACTCCGGTAAAATTATCGGATTTAAAATGCATATCGCCATATTTTAGGTCTATATTTGAATGGAATAAATAGGTGGTCACGTTACATTTGTTTATAAGGTGATCATCCCCATTAAAACTGCCAGAATTTGTGTCTATGCGTGTAAACTAGATGTTCTGAATTATTCCGTTTTAGTTGACAACTTAATTCCCGTACGTAGGACAGGCCACCAGCTCGTTTATAAATAAAAAACTTTTAAAACAAAACGTTTTTAAATGCACTGAAAAGTAGAAAATAATTTATAAATATGTGGAGAGTATAAATACTTGTAAGATTTAAAACAAAAAACGTAGGGTGCATGCAATAGATATTACTTTCTCCCCCTATACCATAGTATATGGAGAAAGTATTGTTTTCGTCAAAATTTTCGAGTTTGAGTTTTGAGTGGATATATTCGTTTTGGGTCCCCCTGGACCCAAAAAAGTGGTTTTCGAAGTGCTGTCTGTGTGTGTGTGTGTGTGTGTGTGTCTGTGTGTCTGTGTGTGTGTCTGTGTGTCTGGATGTGTACAGAGCTAGGGACTACACCTGTGGTCCGATTTCGATGAAATTTGGTATGTAGGTTCTATTCCATGGTACCTCCAGGCGTTTTTTTCATTTTTTTGAAATTTTGATTTTTAATGGGGATTTTCCCATAAAAACCCATAAAAAACCGGAAAAATCAAATTTTCTAAAAAATGGCCCGAACGATTTTGATAAAAATTTAGTATGTTGTAGCCCTTTAAATTCTGAACAAAATGGTACAAATTCCATTTCTCTAAAAATTACGGTTCAAAAGTTATGGTAAATTATGTTATTTTCCCATAAAAACCCCGTAAAATAACGAAAAATAGGATTTTAGAAAAAAAATCCGGTTTTAATTTAACATAGTATGTTATGGTCCTCAGAGTTTTGATAGTTTTTTCATAAAAAAAAATTATTTTTTTTATGGGAATTTTCCCATAAAACCCCATAAAATAACGGAAAAATAGAATTTACCCAAAACGGCCCTAACAATTTTGATAAAAATTTGATATGTTATAGTCCTTTATATTCAAAACAAAATTGTACAAATCCCATTTCTGTAAAAATTACGGTTCAAAAGTTATTGTAAATTATGTTATTTTCCCATAAAAAACCCCATAAAATAACGGAAAAATCTGATTTTCACAAAACTGGCCCAAACGATTTTGAAAAAATTTTGTATGTAGTCCTTTAAATTCTGAACAAGATTATACTAATCCCAATTCCGTATATTTACTCTCACCGCTTACACAATATGATAAAGGTTGTTGACAAACTTATGGGAGAAAGTATGTGTCAGAATGCTGATACCGTTTATTTACAATTACCTTCACCTATTGAACTAATGTATTATAATCAATTGCATGCACCCCACGTTTTTCGTTTTAAATCTGAAAAGTATTTATACTCTCCACATATTTATAAATTATTTTCTACTTTTTAGTGCATTTAAAAAAGTTTTGTTTTAAAAAAGTTTTTTATTTATAAATTATTTTCTACTTTTAGCGAATTTCTCATATAGGGAATAAGCTATTACCGTAGTACTCATGGTAAGACCTGGACCCGAGACCGATCTAATTTTTCATTTTGAGGTCCCTAGATGCCAAAAACACCATCCGTTCAAAATCATATATATATATATATGTGTCCGTTAGCGCAATAACTCGAGCAAAAATGATCCGATTTTGATGAAATTTGGTACAAACGTGTAAACCTACGTTTATTCGAACGAGTTCGCGATCCAGCATAATCGGACCATGGGAACGGGGGATTATGGGGTAAAAATGGGTTTTTCCCATTTTTGAACCTAAAAACAAAAAAAATTGTGATTTCTTTCTAAAACGTTTTGTAGAGCTTAAAAAAAGAAATAATTTAGTATATTGAAGCGCTGTTGTATGCCTAACGGTCACGGAGAAAATTCAAAAATAGTGTAATTAAAAATTCCAGGGCTGTGCGAATAGTTCAAAAAACGAATCGAATCCGAATCTTTTTAGAGATTCGATTCGGATTCGAGAACGAATCTACTGTTTCTAACTGGATTCGGATTCGGAATCGATATTCAAATTTACTGGTAAGAGATCCGGGTTCGGATTCGATATTCGAATTTCTTGGAAATAGATCCGAGTTGGGATCCGATATTCAAATTTACTAGATTCTGATTGAATATAATTTTCAATATAATTTTTTAGACACTAAAAAACTACTTGTGCACTCCGATTTGCTGTTGACTGGTTCATGTTAGGAACCTGACCAACTTGGTGTTAGGTTTTAGGCACATTAGTGTAGGTCGCATTTGAACCCTATCTTGGCTATCAGTAAACTTAACCTCACAGTGTTAGTTGTTACTTGTAATAGTAATGCAGACATAGGCTTGTGTGGAGGATTAACACCAAGGTGTATAATAGGCTGGGCCTATGTTTTAGACTACACAAATTGGTAGTCCATCACTTTTAGCGAGTAACTTAGGCCTAGGTGGTATGCCTAACTTATGCCAACTTAACCTATTTCAAAACTTCAAATAGGTAGGCCTAAATTTTATAACTTTTTTTTTTGGCCCATTTCAAGAATTTTTTTAAGCAATTCCCTAAGTTATTTCAGCCCCAGAAAATGTGGTCTAAAAATGTGAAAATTGGTACTGCTGACTTTCCTCGGTTTTGGATTCGACTCTGAACAGGTTTAAATATTCGGATTCGATAACAGCTTTAAATTTCAGATTCGGATTCGATCCAGGTTCGATAATGGCTGTAAATTTGAGATTCGGATTCGACCCAGATTCGACTCGGGATTAATTAAAATATTCGGATTCGATCCGGATTCGATAAAATCTGTACAGCTATGATTCGGATTCGGATTCGAACCAAAATTTCTGGATTCGCACAGCCCTGAAAAATTCCCATGTTATTCTTATGGAGAAAATGAAAATTGTTGCAGTTTACTTGTTTATGGGTATATATTGATAAAATTTGGCAAATTTATTTATTTCATCCTATACTATTGATGTATGGTCAAAAAACACTTTTTACCTTCCCCGTAGCAGCAAACCTAAGCACTTGTTAAATCTAATGTTATTTAAATAGGGAATAATATGTCTTATTTATGGAAATATTTTAGTAAAAATGTAATCAGACAAGTTGAAATTCGCTTAGTCTGCAGGTTTGCTGCGGCGGGGGTATTTAGTTTTTAATGTGTGTGGATCTCTATTTCAAACATCTATATCAGATTAAGACAGAGACATGTGAGAAATCTAAGTTTTATTTGAGTTTCTTTTCATATAATTATGTATTAGATTGAATGTATGGCCTACCTACTAACTATAAATATATTAATCTATTTAATTTATTGTTTACTTTATAGAATACTAAATAAATAACAATTTATGTAATTAACAAACACCTTTATATATGCAATCAGATTGTTTATCTTTATTTTGAAATGTTTGTATAAAGAATCTCTCTCATGTACCTGTTAACCCAGGGGCGGTTCCAGGGCTGAGTTTCGGGGGGGGCCACCGGGGGGTCTGGGGGGTATGGAATACCCCCCTGGCAGACAGGGGGGTCCGGAAATTTTTTAAAATTATGTGCTGAAATTAGCGTTTTTAAAGCTATTTTGAGACCCTAGCTTTAAGATTTAAAAAAATGTAACATTCGAGGTTGTTGCCTTATTAAGAATAATTGTGGAATTTCATGAACATTTCTTCAGCAACAAAGTGCAAACAGTCAAACTCGAACCTAGTTTTAGGTTAGGTTTATTGATACAATTCAAGAAAAGTGTATAGTAATACTGTAGTATAGGCATGAATTTGGTTATATGCAATAAAACTTCTTGACCACCTGGTGCCGACTTGGGCAGGGATATACGGAGGGCGCATATAGTGGTTCCAGTGAACTCATCAGGCATGTTGAACCGTATACAAGCTAACACACAAAAAAAAAACTTCCCATCCAATGTTAAAATGTGAAGCTTGTTCTAAGGTGTAGTACTTGTATGTCATACCAGAGTGTCTCGTGTCGACTAAATAGCCTACCTAGCGTAGGCAAGTAGTGTCATTTGCCCGTTTTCGGGGATATCTCTAGCCCTGGTTTTCGGGTGCCTTTGCAAGCTCTTAGTTTTATCATAGACGAGCAAAAAATCCACGTAGGCCTAAAACACTCTCTAATACAGTTGGCTGATCTACTTGTATAGATGAGAAGTCTAATAGTTTTATACAATGTAAAGCCGTGTAATTAATTGGTTTGTGTCATTGAGTAAATCAACGTGTTCAAGAGATTTTGGGCTTTATGAAAAACTATACAAGTTGGCCTTTATAATCTATTCCTCTTTATCTACCTCTAACTTTGCACATAGTTGTCCTAGACTAGGACGACTATGTGCGGTCCTTGTTAATTTTTTGAGGTTATGTACACAGATTTAATAGGCTACTTTAAAAATATCCTTAAATGCATATGAGAGCTCAATAATTACAATTGTATTGCGTTGAAAACAAACCTCTGCAAAATGCTTGTAAGGTATCAGCTTAAAAACATTTTTTTCAGGCTTGGCTAATTTAGGAAATTGAAATTGTAGGTTCAATATGGCGCCCATGGTCCATTGAATAAGAATTTACCGACAGACACCTATAATCTATTAAAGTTGTGCTTACGATACTTCATTATTACTTCTCAAATACTGACGAAGAACCCATAAATAACCAATCACAATGCAAGGGTATAAAATCAACTAGTGACAACGTAGCATAAATTCAAATTCCATAGATGTTCAGTTCACTCTCACTGCTGCTCTACTCAGTGTCTACTCGCTAGTCGCAGTGTTGTAGTGTTGTAGTCGGCTGGTCGCTACTACTACCACAGCAGTGCTGCTACCAGTGCTAGCAGTGCTATTGGCTACTCGTCACCATCGATATATAACTACTATATATCGATGCTCGTCACCTGGCGTGATGGTGATGAGTCATCGATGTGTACTACGTGCCTGCCTAAAAACATTACCCGTTTAACTACGAACTGGCGGCACCGCGCACCTGTGGCGAATGTGTGTGGCCCAGGCTAGTACAACTTGAGTACGACGATGACTATCGCGCTCTCACTCCCATACTATTTTCCGCGTAAACGCCAGCTCCGCCTTACCTGTGCTACCTATTCTTGTCCTAATGAATACATCTGTACTTGATAGCCTACTCACATAAAAAACTTTAAAAATAAATTATTATGGTTGGAGTTTAAGTTTGTTTATCTACATTCTCGGGGGGGGGGGGGGGCATGGCCCCCTCTCTGGAACCGCCCTTGTGTTAACCTTCACTCTTCGAACTGTCAAATTTAAGTATTTACAGCTGACTTAAATTAATTGATGTATTTACATTCTTTCAAAATGTAAACATGTGAAATTTGGAATCCCATGGGGCGTAGCCCAAGGGAAATATGAAAATTGAATGATATAATATTGCATTGTCATCCATTTGTGAGCTATGTTTCAAATTTCAAGTCTCTAGCTCATCAGGAACTTTGTTTAAAATTGATATCAAAATTTGTAGGAAAGCTAGCTAATAAAAACAAGCCCATGGGGCGTAGCCCAAGGGAAATATGAAAATAAAATGATATAATATTGCATTGTCATCCCTTTTTGAGCTATGTTTCAAGTTTCAAGTCTCTAGCTCATCGGGAAGTATCAAAATTTGCAAGAAAGCGAGTTAACAAAAACAAGCCCATGGGGCGTAGCCCAAGGGAAATATGAAAATTAAATTATAAAATATTGCATTGTCTTCCATTTGTGAGCTATGTTTCAAGTTTCAAGTCTCTAGCTCATTGGGAAGTTAGTATAAAATCAAAATGGATTGCAAAATTTGTACCGGACAAGGAAGCAAGCTAATAAAAACGTTTTAAAATAGCTACAAGTACAGTCCACAACAGCTTGTTAGCCTTTTCTATTGTAAGTCTTTACCAGGTTCTAGATTCTATATTATATGTGTTAATTTGTAATTTTTGCGAGTAAGTGAAGCCTGCTGATCAGAAGAATTCTTAATAATCAATATTAACTAGGTATTTGTTTTGAAAATTTACAATAGGTTCAACAATTCCTCTACAAAGGTGTTGCATTCTACTGTGTTGTGCCTTAAATTAATCTCTTGCATTCATAGCAAAGATTAAGAATAAAATATTGGTTTTATTGCCTATCTAATTCATTTTTTGTAAGCTCCACATAGTTGTTTCCCGTGAAACATGTTTAGAAGATTCTGACAGAATGCCCTGTCAAGATTGTAAAAAATTAGCTCTAATTGCTTCAACAGTCTTGTCCTTATCTGTTCAGCCTCCTTCACCTGTGCTCGACGTCCGTGGCGTGAAGGTCAAGCAAAGACATCATTCACCTACCTACTACTAGATCCTCGGGTCTCACACAACCTGCCTGCGCGTGCGGCCACTGACCCTACCCTCACACACACACTCTGGGGAGAGTTCCTGCGTAGCGTGTTCTACGTGGGGAAGGGGAAGAGATCTCGTCCATACTCTCATCTGTACCAAGCGGTGGCTGCATGGCAGCAGAAGGAGTACAAGGGCTCTTGTAAAAAGGTGAGTTAATAATAATGACTTTCCATTTCAAAGGAACGGGGCAAAAGTCATTACTGACCTAATTTCGAGACAAAGGTTGTAGTCAGAAAATTAAAGACAATCTTGCCAAGGTCATGGAATACGATTGAGTTATCTTAAGATATATGGCTGCGATTGTAGGAGACCATCATGTCTCCGTAATTGCTGAAGATGCTCCAGGGTGTCTACCAGTCGGGAATTCCGGGAAATTCGGGAAAAAGTCGGGGATTTTGAAAGGTCGGGAAAAGTCGTGAAAAAGTCATGAATTTCGGCCGAAAGTCGGGAATAATCTAACCTTTCAAAATTAGGGATGAACGGGTCTCAAAACTTTAAAAAAATGTTCTGGATCTCTTATTCCTGATCATTGGGACGGGATTACATTTGAGGGGTAGGGGATGAAAGGAAAATGCATCGGAATTCCAATTCGATTCAGTGATGATCAAAATAACGATTTGAATCATGGGCATTCAGTGTCCATAATATACGTTTTTGAACCAGCATCCATACGTTATGGAATCAGTATCTATACGGTATTGAATCAGTATCCATATACGTTATTGAATCATTATCCAAATAGCTTTTTGAATCAGTGTCTATATGTCATTGAATCAGCATCCATATATACGTAGTTGACTGTTACATTGATAATGTTACTTTGACTATCAGTATCCATATAACTCATTGACATTATTCAAATGATTTACATTAATTATATAAGCTATTCATTGAGATGAGACATTGCTTAGCCATACAAGTTATTACCATCCAAGTACATGGCATACACTGAGACATTGCTTAGCCATACAGGTTATTGCCATCCAAGTACATGGCATACACTGAGACATTGCTTAGCCATACAGGTTATTGCCATCCAAGTACATGGCATACACTGAGACATTGCTTAGCCATACAGGTTATTGCCATCCAAGTACATGGCATACACTGAGACATTGCTTAGCCATACAAGTTATTACCATCCAAGTACATGGCATACACTGAGACATTGCTTAGCCATACAGGTTATTGCCATCCAAGTACATGGCATACACTGAGACATTGCTTGACCATACAGGTTATTGCCATCCAAGTACATGGCATACACTGAGACATTGCTTAGCCATACAGGTTATTGCCATCCAAGTACATGGCATACACTGAGACATTGCTTGACCATACAGGTTATTGCCATCCAAGTACATGGCATACACTGAGACATTGCTTAGCCATACAGGTTATTGCCATCCAAGTACATGGCATACACTGAGACATTGCTTGACCATACAGGTTATTGCCATCCAAGTACATGGCATACACTGAGACATTGCTTAGCCATACAGGTTATTGCCATCCAAGTACATGGCATACACTGAGACATTGCTTGACCATACAGGTTATTGCCATCCAAGTACATGGCATACACTGAGACATTGCTTAGCCATACAGGTTATTGCCATCCAAGTACATGGCATACACTGAGACATTGCTTAGCCATACAGGTTATTGCCATCCAAGTACATGGCATACACTGAGACATTGCTTGACCATACAGGTTATTGCCATCCAAGTACTTGGCATACACTGAGACATTGCTTCGCCATACAAGAAGTTATGTATACCTTGTAGTTCTGATTCTATCCTCTTATTTTATCAATGTAAACCTATTGAAAGATTTAGTATTTAAATCTTACAAAGGTTTTTATTTGTTTACACCCAAACATATCTTTATTTATAAAATGAATAAAATAAAATAGGTAACATACTTAACAACATGATGCTGCAAGTAAAAATTATGAAATAGGCAAGAAGCTCACTGATATTTCCAGAAATACTGGTTCTTCTAATGTATGATTGAAAACAGATATTTCACTCCACTGAGAAGTATGAATAGAAAAATTCCACGTTGCTTCGAATCGAGTTACATCAACATTTTTTTAAATCGAATCGTTGCTTTGAGTTGAAATGTTTTGCTGCTTCACACACCCCTACATTTAATACGGGATTTTCTTGGCATGTGATACGTTTCGATCGTCAGTGATTTCCCTGGGTCGTAAGTGACAACATATGTTGACGAAGGTACCGTGACCGCGAGACGGAAAAAGGTGTAGTAACATGGAGAATGGACCGCGTTTTTGGTCGGGATTTATATAAAAATGGTAATGAAAAGTCGGGAAAAAGTCGGGAATTCCATTTGAGAAATCTGGTAGACACCCTGTGCTCATAATTTTGCAGCGAGTACAGAAGATTGCTTATTACCTTCCTTGAGAATTAGGGCTGCACTCTGAGTTTTGACCAATGTGTACATTCGCCTTTAACAATCTTAAGAGGTGAAATTTACAAATTTGTACACTAAGATAAAACCAATCACAAAATTGTAACAGGTTTTTAGGTTAGTCATAAGATAACAAATTGTAAATTGGCCTGATTAGCCCACTTTTTACAGATTCAACGAATCTTAGACATTTGGAGGTCCGGAGATGGTGTGATCTGTCTTCATATTTTCTTGAACGTAATTCCTGTAGAGGCCTTCACTCGTGAAGCTGCTATGATCTGTGCCCTGACGCTCCCACAGCTCACCAACGAACAGGTGAGGATTGATGTTTTAGTTGTTGGAAAACATAATAAATATCTGGAATCATTAAAATCCATTGCCATAGGCCCAGAACTGCATTAATGACAATGGGTTTTACAGTTACCAGTCAGCAGTTCAATATTGGTAAGACCCAAATAACTCAATAACTTATTCGGCAAAATTGACAATAGGCCTACAAATTAGCCAAGCAAGAATACTGTAACATGTTGAAACTAAAACTAAATACATGATGACTTAATGTCTTAAATCAAATATAATATAACAATAAAACTAAAATTTATTGAGACTGTCCGTTAGCAACATAATTTATGATTGGTCACTGTAGTGCCATTTTCTCATAATATAAGTGAGGAATTTAAAGTGTTATTAGCAGGCATTCTGTGTCTGATATTGACTTTGTTTGATGGGGAAGAGCATTGAAAAGTTTAAAAGCAGTGAGATATTTTTAAAATAAGCTAGTTGAATGTGATTGTATTCATATAAGGTATTAAGAGCAGATTTATATGAGTGGGTGGTTAGTCTGAAAATGAGAAAGATTTTACTCTAAAAAGTTATTTACTCTCACATTTACGTAAGTAAAAATTAAAATGTCTGATGATCTAACACATCCTACAACACGGGTCTTAGGTGAGGTCATTGATAATTCTAAATAGCATAAAAAACAGTAGAGTCAAATTAAAAATTCAATGTCTGATGGCCACCATTGGTTCTGTTCTGCACTACAAATTTATAAATTATATTACTTACTTTTGAACACATTCTTTTCCCTAATCTAAGTCTGAAGATCTTTGAAATCTTTACATCTCTTTATCTAGCCTCATTGTTTGTAGGTTGGGAAGTTCTACGGTTCAGCCGCAAGTTGGAATGAGAGACTCAAACGTCGGCTTGGCTGTGTTTTGTTGCATCGAGCGTTTAAAGTTTTCTTGGCGGAAGGCGAGAGACAACTTCGACCAGCTGATATAGACTAAGACTTTATTAGAACCTAAGGCATTCATCTTTTACTACCATTAGTTTTTACAGTAAAATAAGAAGAAGTTATCTAAAAAAATGTGAACAGCCATGATGTTTTTGCAAATTGGAAATATAGAGAAGCTTACAATTTTTAGAGGTGAAACAAACTACACCTACACATTCATAAAAACGTTTTAGGAATATGAATGGTGACACCATGAGTAATATTACCTAATTCTTCGTCTGGTTTTCCTAACTATGAAACATTATACTAGTTTCTATACTTTTTTGGATAATTTTAGTTGAAATATGCAATTTGATGGGTGCATTTTCAGTTTTGGTTCCCATCGGTTTTGTGTAAAATAAAGTGGTCTCCACCCAGAAACAGTTAATTACATTATCAAACCTTGACAAAATTGAAATATTTGTAAAGCTTTTCTACTTACGACACCTATTAAAAATTAAGGGTTTTTATAGTAACTAGTAAACATAAAATTGTAGCCCTATAGCGTTTAATAGATGTCAAACATTCTAGTGAATAATTATAGTCAAAAGATTTAATCTCCGCTCAGTATTATGTTGAACTATTGAATAGTTTTTAAGACTGATATCAAACTATGAAAATAGTTTAACTGTCTCTTAGTTTAAAGTTAGGATTTTTTCGTGCTAACACGTCATGGATGCCATACAGAAAGTTAACGATGAAAATTGAGGTTAATTTGTTAAGCTAGAGGAATTAATTAAAGGTTCTTAGTTCTCTAGTTGCATTTTAAAAGAAATTGCTAAGTTCTTTCCTCTTTAGTTTTCTTCCTTTATGGTCTTGACTCTCTATAGTTTACTATATACGTTTGAACTAAGAGTACAGTAACTGTTATTTGCCCATTCATTACCTTTGATAGCTACTTAAATGCTATAGATATATTTATATATAAAAAAGACTATTATATTTATATTGTTGAGATTTCAGATTCTTTATATCTGAGTTATATTCTGTAAGTATTTGTGACCAAAGACATCTTTCAAATACATGAAGCTTTGAATCTACTTGTTGATTATTTAACCAAACCCCCCCTCCCATTTCAAAATAAAGGTATCAGCAATCTGACACACACTTTCTCCCATTAGCTTGTCAACAACCTTTATCATGGGTAAGCAATGGGAATAACTATATGATATTTTATAGAGAACATCACAAATTTGCAATAACTATTGTACCATAGTTTTTACAGCAATGATAGCTTGCACTATTTTGTTTAGAATTATAAGGACGATAACATACTAATTTGAATCAAAGTTGGCTTTTCCCGAGAATATGGTTTTTGTTATTTTCTGAATTTTTAATGAGAAGATAACATAAGCTACAATAACTTTTGAACCGTAATTTGTACAGCAATGGGAATTATACAATTTTGTTCAGAATTTAAAGGAATATACTTACTTAATCTGTATCAAAAACGTTCAGGCCATTTCTGAGGAAATTGGATTTTTCCGTTATTTTATGGGAAAATCACCATTCAAATCAAAATGAAAAAAAACCATGGAGATACCATGGATTAGTACCTACATGCCAAATTTCATCAAAATCGGTCCCTAGGTGGGGTCTCCAGCTCTGGTACACATCCACATACAGACATCACTTCGGGGGTCCCAGAAGGGATATTTATATTTCCACTCAAACTCGAAAATTTTGACAAAAACAATACTTTCTCCATATACTATGTTATAGAGGGAGAAAGTCAAAATGATTGTGATATGGAGTCTTCAGTGCTTATGGTATCTGAGCTCACCTAATCATCTGTGTGATCTCAAGTAAAATCTGTCACCTCTGCTGAAAAAGCAAACAAGAAAGAAAGAACAGTCAGTAGGTACTACAGATTTTTTTAAAGGTTTGAATCTGGACCCAACTAACCGTATGACGATTTGTGATTCTAATAAATAATATGGCCCTGGCTAAAAAAAAACCCAGCAGAAGCAAACTATATTAGTACTGTACTGTAGGTATTCACGCTACAGAAGGAGAAGGTACCTCCCTCGAAATTTTACTACTGAGTATGTCAGTCAATAATAGTGTAAATGATTATATACTGGTGTACTTGTGTTAAAATACACACCCTGCAAGTGCTATCGTTGGCTTAGAGTTGATTGATTGTCGTTGATTAATTTAGAACCTGCAATTTATTTGAACCTCTGACTGACTCTAAATCAGAATACGACTTTTGCATTGTTATGTGCTGTTAAATTGGGAGAAGTTACTACAAGTTAAAATACCTACAGTCTAATATCTTTACCAACCTAACATTCTTAACATTGTTCGTTTCTCTACTCATTTGTAGGTGTAGCCTAAACAAGAAAAACATTACTTTATGTGTTTTTTTTTATTAATTTAAGATAAAATTATATTAGATTTATAACACATTGACAACCAAATAAATAATTTATATAGGTATTCTTTTCTTTTCTGTTGCTAGAGCGTAATATGGTAATATGTTTTGTAGCTTAATCAAACCGAACCAAATCAAAAAACGCCTAACATCCAACGTTCAGTGATTAACCCACTGAGCTCAGTGGATTAACCTCAGTAAAAAAAAAAAAACAATTAAACAATACTGCATCTGACATACAGTAGTTCAGGTTCAGGATAGAAAAACCCCCATACCTGTAAATAAAATCGAACAACGTGGTTGCATGGTCGTACGCAAACTAGCCTTCCAAAGCGAATTTATTATTCATCCGATCCGATTCTTTCCATCCAGTCATTCCACTCCAGTCAGTGAATCCGTGTTTTGTTTTTGTTTTGGTGGCTTGGTTTCTTGCTTGGTTATTTGTTATTTGGTTATCTTGTTGTTTGTTTGTGATTTGTGGTGATACATTGACCATTGACATAACCTTTCGCTATTGTCAAAATTATCATTAAAATGTGGTTATATTAGGGTTTTTAATTGTATCGGAATGTTTGCTAACAATTATTAATAGCTTAAATTTAGATAGGCCTATTTAAGGTGATCAAGTAGGCCTACATAGGCCCTACTATAAATTCAATTATGAGTGATCTGGGTAAGAAAATATCATTTGGTTTTAGTAAGCTTGCCAAAAAGACAGCTATTGTCCCCACTAATTTAAATAAGAACAAACAAGATGATGAAGTCAATAAAGTAGAGTTTATCGATTGCCTGGAAGGAAAATCTATCAAATTGAGGGATCCAGTAAAAGAAGAAACTGGACCATTAGTTATTCCACTTACAAGACCGAAGAGAGACAACAAATCAATTCAAGAGGTAGGCCTGGATGTCAATAAAGTTAATGGAAAAAGCTTAGATAAAGAGATTGAAAACATTTCTGTGACACCATCCAGTGAAAAGGATAATCAAGAAACTGTGGGTGTTGATAAATCTAAAGATATATGTTCTAACGATGTTCAAAATAAACAAGAAACTTTAGACGAAATTGCAGCTAGAGAAATACTTGAAGAATTAAATCGAAAGAAGTCAGAAGATGAGGAGAGACGTGTTTTCAGTGTTCCTTTGACAAGTAATGCACCTTCAGGAGAGAAAGAATCAACTTTAGAAGATTATGACAATGTCCCTGTTAATGATTTTGGATTGGCTATGCTTAGAGGTATGGGCTGGGCCCCTGGAAAGGGTATTGGGAAGAATGAAAAACTTGTTGCTCCCACTTTGCCTACCCTTCGTCCTAAAGGAATGGGTTTAGGGGCGGACAAAATTATAAAATCAGCTGAAAAGAAAAGTTCAAACGAAGATTTAAAAATGGTTAAAGGTAGTTTTATTCGTATAATAGCTGGACACGATAAAGATGCGTATGGTCAAATAGAGGGGCTGGATGATGAATCTGGAAGATTGATCGTAAAACTTGCCTTAAAAAATACTACTGTCTCTTTGAATGAATTCATGGTTCAGTTGGTTGATTCAAATGAGTTTAAGAAAAATTCAAAAGTGATAAATGTTAGTAAATATGAAGAATATAAAAAAGACGAAGCCAAAATAGAAATGAAATCACATGATAGCAAACGTGCCAAAGTAATAATATCAATAGAAAATAAATCTTCTAAATCTGAGAGTAAAAATAAATCTTCTGGAATGACCCGTTCAAGTTCATGTGAAAGTGAAGAGTATAGTAAAGTGAAAGTTTCTTCTAATAAGCATTCAACTGACAAGTATAAGCAAAGTCAAAGTAGACGTTCAAGGAGTCCTCATGACAGAAGTAGACTAAAAGGAAAATCACACGACTCATCCAAATATAAAGTTAGCTCAAACCACCCTATCAAAATTTCAACTGATGAGGTTAAAAAACACAGGTCTTATTCATCAGATAGTTCCAGCAGTGCTAGTAGTTACAGGCAATCCTACAAACAGAAATCCAGTTCGTCCAAGCGGAAAAGTTCAGCTAGAGATAGATCTCTGAGTAGACAGAGGTCTAGTTCCAACTCATCTACTTCTGATAGTTCAGCGCATTATGCGAGAAAGAAGGCTACCAAGCATAAAAAGAAAAAGTCAAATTCACATAAATACCGATCAAGAAGTAGGTCTCGTTCACCAAGAAAACAAAAACATAAAAAAGGAAAAAGATAGGCTAGTGCTACGGACTCTTAAGGTTTGTATTCTATTGCTGATTAGGTCTATAGTTTTTAACCCTCCGAGTGTTATTTGTCGATGCTTCGACACATAACACACTTTGTGTAATGTTTTGTGTCGATGCATCGACTCACAAACACTGTTTACGGCGAAGGCTCTATGACTGACAAAATCGGATTGAACTGGATCGAGTTAGGTAGGCCTACTATCGTTTTATTTGTCAGATTCAGAGCTTTCTCCGGAGGTCTGTCTCTAAGCGCTTTTCATTTTAGTTCCGAAAATATTTTAGCAGACAGCTGACGTGCGTATTTGTAAACAGCTTGGTTAACCTCGCACCGATGACTGATGTGTTTTATTACGTTTATCATTGTTTTAGTGTTAAAAATCAAAAGTAGTGATATACGTGGTGCATTATAAGAAGATTTAAGTGATTTTGAAGGGCTGGTTGATGATCCTGAAGAAATAGGTAGTGATATTGATGTAAATTATCAGCCAGATTCCTAGCTATGGTTAGGCTATGCATTCTTAGCTAAACGCTATATACTGAAGTCTGTTTTTTGCCCATAACTTATTTATTTGCAAATCTACTTCCTTATATTATTATATATTTGTAATCCTTATAAAATTTAGAACAAAGTGGCTACGGTATTTTTAAATATTTATAGGCCTATAATTTATACAATTTCATTGAGCGCAAACTTATTTTTTTTGAAAATTTTCCAAAATATTCTTTTTTTACCTAAAAAATTATTTTTTTGAAACAAATGTTCCTTATGATTTATGTTTAATATTGAAGCCCATGATTTTCCAAACAAAATGGTATATAGAACAGTATAATTAACATTGTTTTCAAGCTTCTCAGATCCGTTTTAATAAAACCTTGCAAATGAGCAAAAAATAGGCAGACATTAAGGCCAAAACAAGGGACACTCGGAGGGTTAACAATATAAGTTAGCTTAGGTTATTTTTGGAACACTTACAAAATTGAACCAAAGCAGTCTGGGATTTTTAAATGCAGATTTTGTAGGTAGGCCCAGGTAGCCTACTAACCCTATTTAACCTAGAGGCCAAAATCAAGGCATGTGCAAAACCAATGGCAAAACACTAATTATACTTAAAATGGTTTACAATACTTGCATATAGTAATCCTTTGGTTGCTGATTTTGGCAACTAGTTTCAGTTCATTATTGAACCATCTTCAGGCCTCAAGATGTCAAATAATCACTTCATTCGAAGGTCGTTAATAACAGAGTTCAATAAATAAGACATATACAAAACACGATACACGGAACGTTTAAACAGAAACACATTGGAGGAGTTTGAAATATACAGAGCAGTTAAAGCTGACCATCAAAACGTTTTGAACGATAAACTCTCCTTTCAATCCAACTATATTTACAATACAGCTATTAGGATACTGGAGGGGAACAATGAATGAATGAACAAGCACCGGTGATAAGAAGACAGAGACAACGTCATAGACCACTTTGACCGCTAGTCTAGACTTTACCTCAGCCCGGTCACGATCGATTGTCAATGTCCCTTCGTGTTTTTTGTAATGTGCGTCCATTCCGTGTATCGTGTTTTGTATACGGTATGTCTTATTTATTGAACTCTGTTATTAACGACCTTCGAATGAAGTGATTATTTGACATCTTGAGGCCTGAAGATGGTTCAATAATGAACCGAAACTAGTTGCCAAAATCAGCAACAAAGGATTACTATATGCAGGTATTGTAAACCATTTTAAGTATAATACAGTAATCCAGAGGCTAAACAACTATTTTTCACTAATTATAATTATTAGACCTCTAGGCCTAGTTGTATGAGAACAGAAAAAGGTTGCTTTTCATGAGTCTTGAAATTGTTGTTCAAAAGATTTTTTTGTTAGAAAGTTAAAAAAGTTATGGAAAAGTGTTAACAAAGAGATAGAAAACATTAAAAAAAACCTTTTTTTGAAAATTTGTCAACAATTTTTCGTAATTTTTGAAATTCTTCTGAGATCTTGGGAAATCATTGTCCTCTTCGATTGCAGCAAAATCATGATCACCAAAGGAATATAGGCTAGCCTAAAATAATAATTAGGCTAAATTATCCTTAGACATGACAAAATTGTGAGCGTCCCCTGTGGTTGTGGTGAAATCTTCAGCTATTGCGAAGCAATTGTTAATGTTCTCGGACGAAATAGTGAGCATCTTGAACTATCGTTGAGACATAGACAGTGTTCCCTGCGGTTGCTGTAAAATCGTGAAGATCTCCCCCATTTGCGGGGACATCATCATCGTTATCCGTGTCTAAATGTAGTTGCAATTTCATATTGCGCATTCTTCACAGATGCATTCGGAGTTTGGGAATATGCCTATAAAAGCTTAGCTTGAATATCATACGTTATAACTCTATCAGATTATCAGCCAAAATCAAATTACTAATAGAAAAAAACATTCTTATAAAGACCCAAGTGAGCCCCTTCACAGGCCGAGGCCCCCGGAAACTGCAGTGTCCGCCGTTAGTGAAATACGGCCTGGTTCTGACCACTGAGTGAGTCATACTCACTTACAATTTATTTAAAGCTTCAAATCAAATAAATAAAGCATTTCCCTCTTTAAATGTCTGAGTAGGAGTAGAGACTGTTAACATAAAGAAAAATGAACTTAAGCCTAATGTTAGCTGTTACCTACTATTTACATAATTTGACAAATTAAGCTTTAGCTCTTTGATCGCAGGTCACATTTTGGTTTCAAATTTCCCTCCAAACTGGTCAAGATTGAGGTCCTAATGGTAGCACAGGTGTTCCTGTCATAATTTTTCAGTGTCGGTAGCGATTTTTATGATGATTCATTAGGTTTGCTAATTTACGAGGCATGTTTATTAAGTAAGTAACATTTTTAAATTTCTCCATTCCAGCGCTGCAATTGGCATTTTGGACATTTGTGGTGTGCAATGTGCATTTATTGGCAAGCCTGCGCCATTCACCTTAGGATTTGGCAACAATCGGCCGTGTTTACATCCGGTTTTGAGCATTCAAAATGATGTCGCCAATTGAGACTGCCGCCGACTGTGAAGTGCGTGTTGTAATTATAATTTTAAGTGCTTAGGGTGTGAAAGCCATTGAAATTCATCGACAGATAAGTGAAGTGTATGGCGAGAACATTATGAGTGACGGAATGGTACGCAAATGGGTAAGGGCATTTAAAGACGGCCGCACCAACGTTCTTGTTCATGATGAGCAACGCACTGGGCAGCCATCTGTCATTACTGATGAATTGGTGCGTAAAGTCGATGAAAAAGTTAGAGAGAACAGTTGGCTTATGATCTCATCATTATCTGAGGAGTTTCCTTTTCTCATAATGTGCTCGTCATACACTTCACTAATTTAATGATGAACTTCAATAGCTTTCACACCTTTAGCACTTAAAAATCTAACTACAGCGCTCACAGTTGGTGGCAGTCTCAATTGGCGGAACTATTTTTAATTCTCAAAACCGGATGTAAACATGGCTCATTGTTGCCAAATGTCTGGCGCAGACTTGCCAATAGATGCACATTCACAGCACAAATGGCCAAAATGCCAATCACAGTGCTGGAACGGAGATAATTAAAAACGGTACTTACTTAAAAAACATGCCTCATATGATTGAATAAGGTTGTTTATCCAGCCTAACCAAACCTAACCTTTAATGTGCCTAGTCCGGCAAAGTTACATACAACTGCAATTGGTTTTCCTTGATAATTGAGCTTTTAATAAAAGGTCCTGGCTAAAATAACTAGCCTAAGTGAGTATCAAAACCAATTGGGACCCCATTCATTTGACACACGCACACTTCTCTCCTCTTCGACTTAAAATACACAGACTGGTTGGCACCATATTATTTCAATCTAATCAAGTACCGAACCTTATTTGTTTGTATATTGAATAACTTATTTTTAATATGATTATTTACAAAGTACAATGTTGTAAAGTTAGTAGGAGACTGAACAAAACAGAATTTATTAATATTTTGGTATAAAGAAAGGAGAGTACCTATAAAATTGCCTGATTTGAACCTTTTTGAAATTGTTAATTTACTGCACTTATTTAGTCTATTGATGAACTAACGAAATATTTGGCTTGTTCTAGATACCATACTCTCATTGCAACAGGAATCAGGTGCGAGTCGTTGCTGCCCTTCTGATGAACCTCATCTTCAGAAGAACAGGTTTTTAAAGTAATGTAATGTACTAATGTACTTATTTATAATCTTACACAAAAATGAATGTATTTTACCTATTGCCTAGAATTGCATTTTATCTTGTTCTTTTAGAACATTTGATATAAAGTATGTTTTGTAAACACAATTATGTTAAAAATAAATAGTTCATGTATAATTTTTTATCACCTATGATTTTGATTTCTTTATTTCTGAAGGTAGCCTCCATAGATGTGAGGGGAGTGGCATAAAACTGTATGCATTGACTGTTTACATCCATCATTAAATAATATACCAAAAGAACATTTTAGCGAATTTCCCTATATAGAAGTAGCTATCACTGGAGGTCTCATGGTAATACATGGGCCCTGGATCGATTTACTTTTTCATTTTAATGTCCCCAGAGGCCAAAAACACCATTCATTAAAATTTTTATATATGTATATAGGCCTATGTCCGTGAACGTAATAACTTGAGTAATTTTTGTCCGATTTCTGTGAAATTCTGCTTGAAGGTGTAAGGCGGGATAAACTTGAACGAGTTTGCAAACCAGCATGATTGGACTTTGGGAACGGGGTGGGAAAATGGTTTTTCTCATTTTAGATTCTCAAAACCCAAAATTTCCCAATTTCTCTAGACATTTTTAAAGAGCTTAAAAAACAAATAATTTAGTATATCAAATCTTTATACCTACAACAGTTTATTAATATGTTTGCAAAACTTCATTATTTATAACACTCTTTCTGTTACTCTTTCAGGGAATAGGTTCTGCTAGCAGCTTTCTTACCATAAGTAGCCTACTGTTTCAGGTACAAATTCTACATATTTTGTTAGAAATACTGAATTAATTTATTGGATCAGTTTATTTTCAACATTTAGACCAAAACAAACACAATTTAAGTACCTCTTAGTCTTAAATTATTATTATCAGTGAAGGATAACCAATAAATACTCCCGCCGCAGCAAACCTGCCGACTAAGCGAATTTCCATTTGTCTGAATTGATTTTCAATTAAATTTATTTAAATAAAATTAGGTTTAACGAGTACCTAGGTTTGCTGCTACAAGGAAACTATTAAAGTGTATTTTTTTAGTAAAGTATTAATAGCTTAGTATAAAATAAATAAATTTGCCAAGCTTGATCCAAATATATCCATAAACAAGCAAACTACAACAGTTTACAATATTCTCCATAAGAATAACATGACAATTTTAAATTTAAAATTTTTTTGAATTCTTTCCCTTACCAATAACCGTACAAAAACACTTTGATATACTAAATTATTTGTTTTTTTAAGCTCTTTAAAAAGGTCTAGAGAGAAATTGGGAAATTTTGTGTTTTGAGGGTCAAAAATTAGAAAACCCATTTTTTACCCCATAAAACCTCCCGTAAATCCCCGTTCCCATGGTCCAATCATGCTGGTTCGCGAACTCATTCAAGTTTATCCCGCCTTACACCTTAAAAACAAATTTCATCAAAATCGGACAAAAATTACTCAAGTTATCGCGTTCACGGACATATATATATATATATATAAATCTATATATATATATATACAAATTTGAACGAATGGTGTTTTTGGCCTCTGGGGACATCAAAATGAAAAAGTAAGTCGGTCCCGGGCCTAAGTTTCCTACGGTAATAGCTACTTCCCTATAGGGAAATTCGCTAAAAAAAGTTAGGCTAAGGAAAGAATGTGTGAGTTTCCGGTGCAAGAAATCTGTAGATCAACAGTCGAATCGGTTGTAACCAGCTGATAAATTGACATTGAAGCATTCAACATCCAAAGACATAAAAATGATGATCACTGCAACAAATTTGAGCCTGACATAACAACTGTACTTTCCTTAACACGTTCGCTACTGCAATAGTACAAAATCTTTCATTCACATGGACCTGCGACGGCCGGTTTCTACCCCTAGACTGCTGTCGCATATATGCGACGGCTAGTCACATTAAAATAGACTGCCGTCGCATATTTGCGTCGGCGTTCTAATGTTATTATATCATTGTAACGGTCTAATTGAAGATACTGAATTCCCTGCAGTGGTCTACAGAGATGTCTGACGCACAACTGTGTCGCTTGGTCTGTGGATATGATGATTGGTGACGTCATCACTGGTGACGCAGTATGTATGCTGCATTATCCTATGTAGCTTTGATATTTGTTCAGTTATAAACTGTTCTTGAATAATCTGTTTTTTTTTTTACTTACTTTCACCTCAAAACACCAACAAAAATGAACCGTCGCATATATGCGACGTTCGGTCTATTTCAAGAAAACTATGATAATTTTCACTATTGTCTTCTCTGTAGACCGGGCGTCGCAAATATGCAACATTACACAAGGTTATAAAAAATACAAAAAAAACTAGAATAAATTATTTACAAACACGATTGTAGCGTATTACAATGTAAATGATCACTGTTTTACAGGTTTTCGCCCGTGGTCTGTGTGTACTGTTATCCAAGTGATAGCCGGTCTAAGTGTAAGATTCAAATGTATAGCTCGGTCTGTGGCAATGACCGCGGCGTCGCATATATGCGACGCTCAGTAGCGAACGTGTTAAGGGCTTCAACCCCCTTGTGTTCCACTTTCAAAGATTCACTGTTGCTGACAAACTTTCCTTAAAACGGTTCAAATACGAATTATAATCCATCAGCTGATCCATTAGTTGAAAATTTATCCACAGTCAGATTGTAAACAAAGAGACTAACAAAACAGTTTATGCAAAAGGCTTATAAATTACTTTTTTGATAGTTAAAACCTGTTTAGGACTTGAACCTGTTTGACTACTAGTGCTCAATGCAAGTGTAGTGGAATTGTAACTTTGTCCCAAAGATGGATCACTGATCACATTTCCATCAGTATTTTTACCATGTAGTGATTTCCTGAAGTCCAAGATTTTACTGTGAAAAATTTAAAAACCCCGCAATGTAAGATGCTTTAAATCAAACTTAAAAAGATAAAGTGTTCTTGGGGAATGGTTCCTTGGGGGAACAGTTTAAATATTTTTTGTCAAGAAATAATATTAATGGTTGCAAAGTTGAACACTCACTAAAAGCAATAATTCGTCAAAGAAGAAAATACTACGGGCAGGTAAGGAAGTTTTCTTTCCGAATTAGTTTTTACTTCAGAAGTGTTTATTCAAGTTAAGTTCAAAAGTTGTAGAGATGTTTAAATTTTCCATTTAATTTGTTTTAGTACCTACCCGATATTTTATCGTATGACTAACTCTTTAGTGTTATATTGTTGGATCAATATTCTTATAACCAATTACTTTAAATAACGAAGTATGCATGTTGTTAAGTACAGTTAAAAACTTACAATGTCAGCCCACTTAATAGATTTTGCTTAGACCAAACCATCATTAGAGCTTTGTATACTGAAGCATTGTTGTAATAAAGGTTTCGAAGAAAATTCCAAAAAAATTACCATAGAGGGCTCTGTCAAAAGTCCATGGCTGCTGAAAAACTTTAAATGGTTTTGAATGTGAATTGTACAGCTGATTCTTGGTAGAATTTTGAACTAAATTAAAAAGTAAACATGAGCTGAAAACGGTTGAAAAAAGGCTTGTTTATTTTGAGCGCCTTGGCTGGAAAAAATTAGGAAATGTTTTTTATAATAGTCATTACTAAAAATTTATTTTCAACTAGCTTTGTGCCCGTTCTACGCACGGGAATCTTATAATAGTCAGTTGAAACCTTCTTATATAAAGAACAGCAGTTGGTTTGCATATCATTTTCAGATAGGGTTTGCTGGTAAATCTATTATCTATAAACCTAATATAATGACATATAAAGAAAAAGCAAAACTTATACAGTAAGACATCAATTAAATTGAATACTACTGTAATAAATAAGGTGCAACACTAACGATAACTGATTTTTAAATAGTGATGTGTTGGTACGTAAAAATTATTCTTATTGATACCACCAGTTCTAAGGAAAAGTACAAGTAGCAAAAACCAACGTTTACAGTTAAGAACTATACGACCAATTAAGTGAGTAATGAAGTTCCGAGGTTATTGAACTCTCTTTTTTTTGGATTTTCTGTTAAAAAGTTATCGGAAATCAAAGTTATTTCCAATTAATTGCATTATTTGTAAACAACTTTTAATGTAAACATTTTGGTGACAGTTTGAACCAAATAACCTCATCCAAACAACTTTTTGTTATTTAATAAATGACGTACTCTCTAAAAGATGTTTGGCATATGTAGTTTATATTAGAAGGAAATATGAAACTATCACACAATATGTGTTTTTGAAAGTTTTTAATTAGATTTACTAAGTAAGGAAGGCCATGTATTCTAGGGAAAAGTAACGGTATCAAGGATCGTCGTCAAATAGGTTGTTATGAATAATTGGGTAGGCCTATGTACCCAAGATACAGTCTATGGGCCTATTGGCTGTATGGTACAGCGATAGCAGCACATAGCGGTGAGTAGAAACCGAAAGTGACACATTGGAAAAGCGAGTTTAGTATCATCCGTAAACCTCTGTTACAATCACCCACTGCAGTTATGATTTTTCACTTAACACTTTACACAACCGATATTGAAACACCATCAATGAGTGGATACCTAGTTAGTAAGCTATTGGCGACGATGATTTAATAAATGTAAGTTTCCCAGCCCTATACAACACTGTTTCAAGGTCTTTTTCCCGGTTATCAAAACTTCAGAGCAAACACAAAGAATCTCTAATTTCATTTTACACATTATTGAACTTGCGATTAATTAAATCCTTTATGTAAGGAAATTAGTTTTTAATCTCACTTGGTTTGGATTTTGCTTTCAAAACGTGATCGGAAATGTTTGCAGTATTTGTAAACAACATTTAATGGTAAACATATCAGTGACAACTATAAAAAATAATCTTTTCCTACAGTTACCTAACAATGTACATGTTCTCTCACTGATTTGAGAAAGCAAAGTGGCCAATTCGCTCATCAGTGAGACAATGTTAACATTGTCTCACTCAAATTACTTTGTCTCACTCCAGATTTGCAACGTGAAGATACGAAATAGTGAGCGCGTAACATGCAGGCAACGTCGTATGCGCGCGAAATACGTTGGCAGCACTGGCTGTAAATCAGCTGGTCAGCTGCTGTACTGTTGTATTTGTCACTTCACGTTATGTTATATTAAATGTTCAATTATGTGTAAAAATAGGT